CCCCCCCCCCCCCCCTCCTTTCATACCATCTCCTTGAATACAATAAATATTAAGACAGTATTTGGCTAGTATTCAGAGCACAGAAGGAAAGGAAACTTAATATCTGGACAAAGGGTGAAGTTAGGAAACCATGAAAAGATAAGATAGATTGGCTCTTGATAACACAAGTTAAGAATAACCATAGAATGAAAATAAAATGGACTAAACGGTGCTCAAGAAATCTAGGATGTAAACCAGCTATCACTGGTTAAAAATGTGAATATAAGATAGTTGAAAACCAGACCAATAAAAAATTGAGGATAGAAAACTAGAGAAAATGTAAGTCACAAATATATAAATATATTATAATAAAAGAATGGATCTTTTAATCTTATGAATCTCAGAATTAAGCTAGCATTATCTCCATCTTTAGCAGATCTACGGATTTATTCAATTTGTCTTTAATATCCCATGGTAATTGTACCTTGCAAGAATAACTGAAAAAAAAGGATGATCCGCACATTAAAAGTATCCCCATTGGATATAAAGATCAAACATTTAAGATCAACAATACTTCACACAAAAGTTCACACGTCAGGTGGTGTTAACAAACAGAAAATTGAAAAGTGAAAAATTGGAAGGAAACAGAATGTTGTAGTAAGTATTATTCTAAAGAAAAAAAAGTAAATACTTTGATGCAAAAACCATTACCTGGCCGAACATCAACCAATTGTGTGCATGAATGTGATTCTGGCAGGAAATGTAGCTTACAGAAGCTTAGCTTGCAGAATTGGCAAACTATAGGTAGGAAGTCAAGATCATTGCAAGCAGCCCTGAATTTTCAGCATTAGACATTTCTTCTTTAAAATTCAAATATCCTGAAAACTAGACTAACATCAATGTAATTTATTTGAAAACTTTTCCGTTATCTTAAAATTAAATGCATTTCTTGTAAATTAAGTCAAAGAGTTTATTCGTGGATCATCTTAACTTCAACCTTGGTCGGATAAATTATATATTTCTCCCTTTCATTTCTATTACCCCTTTCCCTCATTTGTAATAACTACTCCCATTTCATTAGGACATTTCATAGAAAATACATTTCATAGTCAGAGAAGATTTTTTTTACAAATTATATTTTTTCTTTTCTTTTCATCGTCATATTTTCCCTTGTCTATGAAAAATCTTCTCTATCTATGAAATGTCTTTCTACTACTGTGTCAGAGAAACAACTGAGAAAGGATTTTTAACAATTCACTCGAGCATTTTCATTCAACAAAAACACTATTAGTGAAAAACTTTAATGGACAGAAATGTTTTCACAGATGAAAAAGTTGAATTTTAAGTTCTTTGAAATGTCTTTCTATGAAATGTCCTTTCTATGAAATGTCCTTTCTATGAAATGTCCTTTCTATGAAATGTCAATGTCCTTTCTATGAAATGTCCTTTCTATGAAATGTCTTTCTATGAAATGTCCCAACGCCGTAATATTTAAGCCTTCAACAAGAATCTAACTATAATACTAGAGGAAGTGTAGAATAGAAGTTACAACTAATGTATAAGTTTTAACTTTCTTACCACATGCAGTTTTCTCCTAAACTCGGAAACTCTGACATTTTCTTCTGAAAATAATAATATTTAGATTTTATTTTATCTTCCTTGATCTTATCTTTTGATATTAAGCAGGTATCATCTTCGTTTAAACAGCAATGATAGTTATCCTCTTTGCAGTCATAGTCATCCTCCTTGACAATGACTAAGTAATTGACATCTTTCTTGCTAATAAATAATTGACATCCTCCTTGGTAATCAATAGTTGACATCCTTCTTGCTAATTAATAATTGACATCCTCCTTGCTAATCAATAATTGACATCCTCCTTGCTAATCAATTATTGACATCCTCTTGGCTAATCAATATTTGACATCCTCTTGGCTAATCAATAATAGACAATAATGTCCCCCTTACGTATGAATAATGAAAATCCTCTTTGCTAATGAATGGGTGAAACAATTAAAATTACGTCTACAGTGCCTTTAAGAACTTTAAAGATGATTTTGTTGCTAAGGAGAGAAACAGACTAAATTCTTCTATTTCGTTTACTCTAAATACAACTTCCAACTTCTATTCACAACTAAATCAAGGTGTGAGCTAGGAACTTCATTGAGTGCTTAGAACTTATTCTTGAATTAATTAAGATGAATAGTACTTTGTTGATTATTAAGTAAGAATGGATAGATGGCTGGAAAGTTGGATAGAGGGATGAATGCTTTGTGTTTAAAATCAAAATATGAAAAATTTAAAAGTCAACTTAAATAATCCCCAAGTTTACAACTTAAGCTAAAGTAAACTAGGAAAGTTTTTCAGTCTTAAAATAAACTTTTGTAATATATTTTATGTATTTAATGGGTGTGGGAGGACCAAGACAAATATTGGAATAATATTATTTTTTTTTTGGTGGGGAGGGGGGAGGTGCTGGATAAACCCTTTCTACCCCCCCCCCCCCTTTGCGTTTGATCATCTATAAAAGTTAGTTTATGAGTTTATGCAAGGAAAGATTCCCCAAGGCTAGAGCTAGAGTTAATAAAATATAAATATCTAGAATCCAATATACTGTAATCTATTCTTAATTCTTGGAAATACAAGAAATTGACCAAGGGGTTGATCAATACTTTAAACCTACATATAAATCTAATAAAGGTGAAAATAAGTGACGATGTTCTAAGTTCCAAAGCATTTTTCAATAAAACGTAAAACTTTACATTGAAAAATACCGATATTGCTGAATTGGATAAAGTTTATTTGCAATATATAGACTTTCCCTTTTAAATAAAAATAAGAACTAACAGGGTGAGGTGAAAAAAATGTGATTAGTGTCGTCTTGTGCAATATCATACTTTTAAGTTATTTCTTTTCGAAACCAAAAGTATAGAAAAGCAATTATGATATAATATATTTCTTTTATCTAATCAGAAAATTTTAAATAGATCGGATTCACGGAAATGGTAAAACTCCGCTAAGTTATATGTATCAAAATCGCAATTTTAGTTCTGGTTTAATTGTTTCAGCAATGCTATCAATGAAAAGATTAACAGAATAATCACGGAGGACATTTTAAATAATGTGCAACTGTTAAATGCATTATTTTATGGCCGACTAAACAATAAAGTTAAACTGTAGCGATTTCAATTTTTTAGTTTTTTTCTGCTCTTTAAATTTTGATGGAGGAAAAAGTTTCGCGTATTGTTTTTGGGCCATATGAGCTACAAAAAAATAAGACAGGAAAATACCATTTATATAAGAATTTCAAGGGAAATTTTTTTAATGAGACGATACTTATCACACTTTTTTTCTCATCCTGTAATATTGTAAAGTTGGAGATTTTTTAAATGTTTAAAAGTCAGAACTTACGATCCATCTTTTGCAGATCTTCAAATTAGTTTACTTCCTTTCGATATCCCGTGATGGTCATACCTGCAGGGATAACTTTGATTGAAGGATCAAGCATCGATCCTCAAATATAAACGTGCACATATTGGATATCGAGATCAAGCGTTCAAGATAAACAATATTCGCAAGAAAAGTTTAGCTCTCAGCTGGGAATTTTTGTTTTGAATAATATCAAACACTTGATCTCGTTATCGACTTTATCCACTGTGCAGTGGGCGAATATAACCCCTGCCTGGGTACGATTACCATCCGGGATATCAAATAACAAATTGAATTAATCTGCAGATTATCAAAAGATCATGATCAAGCATTGATCTCGTTATCCACAATACAAGAGTTTCCACATTTACTCAAATGTAAATTTTTCTGAATTGAAGAAAACATTTTGGAGGATTTAGGTAACATGTAATACTACAACTTGAGGCCGAATTTAAAGAATTTGAGCCGCGGCTTAAATTCTTAAATTCGGATCAAATATGGTGGTTCCACTTAAAATCGTATTCATTGTTTCAAGATTTAAGCCGGCGCTTAATTGACACCGATTTTTAGCGGATTTAAGACGCGGCTCAAATTCATTAAATTATGACATTGGTAGCATTATTTTATGTTTTACAGTTTCTCTTAAAACCGTTTGAAATATCATATAATTCGCAAAAAAATGTAAATGCTTTAACGAAAAACTACATTTAGGTCATCACTTTCTGATTTGTTAGGCTTTGCTTAGACTAAGGCAATTTTCAATATTTTCATTTTTTTATAAATTCTGAAATTGAAAATAGTAAAAGTTAAATTCATAAAATACCCCTTTTTTCTTTTATTAAATTTGTAGTGTATCCGGGTATCCGGGTATCCGATTACCAACTTCCAAGTTCCACAGGGTTAGCATGATGACTAATGATTGATGACCAAAAAATATATGCATAAAAAATTGTATTGAAAATTATAATCGACTTTAACAATAATGCACATCGTACATGCATGTATTATATATGTAAATGTATTTTCACATTTTTTGATAAGTATACCTAACAGGTATTACCCATTTTCTTATTTCTAAATATCACTAATTAGTAATATTCAGGTTTCTTGAGTTTAGCCTCTACTGCTGCCACCTTGGCGTCTATCTACAAATAGGAGTATTCTTAACATGCACAGAAAACGAGTCTTAATAATTAAAATTCAAATGTTTGTGGCAATAATCTTTGAACAATTATCTATAATGGGTAAATTTCATATTGATGACACAAATCTTTTTCGTTAAAATCTTGTTCATGTTTAAAAGGCAATGATTAGAACACATAAAGGCACTTTATAAATAATGGGTCACTTATAATTACGAAAGAAATTCCCTTAAAAATAGATTTACCTGGAGAAATACTTGAGTAAGGCTTGAAAAATATTTACCTGGATAAATGCTCGAGCAAGGATTGAAAAACATTTACCTGGATAAATACTTGATTCAGCTTGAAATAGATTTACCTGGATAAATGCTTGAGTAAGCTAGAAATATATTTATCGAGTAAGGCTTGAATTAGATTTACCTGGATAAATGCTTGAGTTAGGCTGGAAATATATTTACCTGGATAAATGCTTGAGTAAGGCTAGAAATATATTTACCTGGATAAATGCTTGAGTAAGGCTTGAAATATATTTACCTGGATAAATGCTTGAGTAAGCTATAAATATATTTACCTGGATAAATGCTTGAGTAAGGCTAGAAATATATTTACCTGGATAAATGCTTGAGTAAGGCTGGAAATGATAGAATTGTATTTCTCCACCAGCTCTAGTGTCTAGATGAAAATACACTTAACAAAGATTCTTCAATTAATTGAAGTTCTTAGTTCTAATAAATCAACAAGTGAATAAATCTGATAGTAAAAAATTTATAGATATAAAAACCGTTTAAAAATGCTTTGTTTGAGCTTGTATTCCTGGGTATTGAGAGCGTCAGCTTGTTCTTTCTCCTGGAGTTGAAATCTCTTTAATTCTTCTAGTTTCCCTGTATTTTCTTTGATATCCCCCAACTTCTGACTGTCCAGCTCTCCACTCAGAATTTTAATCTAAATTTCGCAAAAGTTGTCTTGCGGTATTTTCCTCCGTTTATTTTTAACTAAAAAAAATCAACCACTGCTTAATCCCTAAAATCCCATCCAAACGAGCCAGTCTCACAAACTACCTGTTCTAGCATGTTGTACTCTTGGTCTAGCTGACCAGCCTGGCTAAGCAGGATGGATTGTTTGACCCTGTCAGTGTTGGAGCTCTTCTCTCCAAACAACGGATCCAAATACATCTCTAGCTCTTCTAAAACATGACAAAATAAACGAAATGTTTTTTTTTAGAAAATCCTCATCTTCCTCTTAAAGTTTTCACGAAAAAAAGTATTGCTGAATATTAAGTAATAGTTTTTGTGAAAAGATTTTGCGAGGAAAAATTCCGATTTAAAGTTTTTTTCTTACCTATACGTTTAACTACAGGAGTTATCCTGTCATGGCCAACCAGACTATTCCCAACATCTGTACTATACTCTGCTACATAGTGTACCAAGGGCTCGTGTAATATATTTCTGAAATGAGACAAGTATTATTGCGAAGCCTCTTAACTTCTCATGTTGGCTGAACGTTTTTAAATAGGGCTCTTCACTGAAGATTCTCAGCGACCAGTAACGATCATTGTAAAATGAAAAGCAAACTGCATAAAAAATGTTGTTTCCTTAAAAAAAGAAACGCCTAAACTAAAACATACTTCGACCCTGTCCTATTAAAAGCTTTTTGAACTCCCACCCTCTTATTAATTGCAAAATTTGTACACGGCTCAATAAATAAAAATAAAAAAGTCATCGTGATAGGAGCTTCTTCAAATAAAAAAGGTCAACATTTCTCTGTAAATCGATGAAGTAAATAAGGGCGAATTCTTGGGTTAAAGTCCAAGGAGGGGGAAAACAAGGCAAGAAGCGATTTTTTTCAGAAAAGAAAGTGCAACAAGTTTTTAAATTTCATATCATCATTGATGAAAAACGTAGATGGCACTCCATAAATAACCACTTTGAAGCTTTGCCTGATATAGATAGTCTTGTATTTACCTTGGTTTCGATCCCCATGTTCTCTGTTCCAGTTTCTCAAGACGACGGTTCAATGCAGATAAATCACTTTCCATCATCAACTCTGAAATGTCAAATATTAAATTGAAGTATTTTATTTAAACTACAAACTATTTATTTTTCCGTAGGAATTACTAGGACAGACCCGTTAGACTTTATTGCAATTTCCTAAAAACTATTTTTGTCTCCCCCTCCATTAATTTTGTACCGGGAGCTAATTTGTGAAGTATGGTATGACCGAAGTGCCCTGCCCCCTAGCCTTTCTTAGTTGCAGTGCTCGTCCCAGAAATTGTTTTAACCTAAAAAAACATAACCTAACCCTATAGTATTTGTAATATAAACCTCGACCGGAGAATTCGCAAGTACGGCAACCACTGCACGTCCTGCACGGCCGCGGCTTGAAGAGTTTATAAATATGATCGGAGTATTTTAACCGGACTCTATTTTGAACATTTTCCGTCCGGTCATTGAAAATATATATTTAAATCCATGTTACACTTAATAGCAAATTAAATAAAAATACTTATTCATTCCAATTTGTTATTGTCAATAGAAAATCAGCTGACAAGGAAGACGACCAGAAATTCCAAGCTATTTTGGTCAGGGTTTCTTCAAATATAAAAAAAATTTAATCGTGATAATTCCGTGAATATGTTCAATGTACGCATAGGAAAAATCGCTAATTGAAAAAATTTTATTTTTGTAGAAAAAATTTTTTTTTGGTTACCCTCGTTCTAATAATTTCGAACATTTTGCGGCATTCCTCAAACAGTTATTCAGCGTTGCGGTTGCTGATGGCCTGTTGAACTGATACCCTCGGCTGTTTTTATTTTCTGTGTTTAACCAGCACTTATAAATACAATTAAATTTGAATTTGCATGAATTATTAGTATACATCTTTAAATTTTAATTTCAGACGTATTCCAATCAAATGGCTCAAAATAAGCGTAAAGGGCGGCCTGCTGGGAAGGAGGGTTCAGATAAAACTTATTCCAATGAGTCCTTAGTTAAGGTAAGTAAAATTATTAAAATTGGCGTCATACATATGATCGATAATGGTTCCATTGACTCAAAGGAGGGTTTTTAGGTAATTTCCTTGCATACCAATTTTGCCCCCCCCCCCCCCATCCTATCAATTTTAAACATAGATTTCATATGTATAACGTATGGATATAATTGGTCATGTGGCCGTAGCGGGTCTGTCCCATTATACGAGTTTTGGATCCCCTCCCCCTCAATTTTGTATATGACAACTTATTTTCAGCAAAATGTTTATTTTTTATTATTTTATGATTAGGTTAGGTTAAGACAATTTCTGGGTCCAGCGCTGGGGCTAGAACAGGCTAGGGGCCGAGTATTGCGGCCAGTACGGGCCTTCATTTTCAACCATTTTCAACAAAATCAGTTTATATTTAGGGTTAGGATAGGTTTAAACACAGTCTGGGACGAGCACTGCGGCTAGGATAGGATAGGGGACCGAGCGCTGCGGCTAGGAAAGGCTAGAGGGCCTAGGTTAGGACAGGCTAGGGGGCCGTGGCTAGGACAGGATAGGGCCNGGGTTCAAAAATCGTATACTAGGAAATCACCGCCGCAGCGCCCGGCCCCTTTGAACTTTAGTACACATGAACAAAATAAAAATAAATAAATTTTAAAAGAACTAATTAAATAATTCGTTATAGATCTTTGAAATTATCGGGCATCCAGTCGTCGACATGTTTCATTCTTGAAATTGAAAATTTAGTTTAACTGATCAAACATTTGTTCATTAGGACTAATTAGCCATTGTGACGTCAGTACAAACGAACGTTAGTCCAATCTATCGTTAGTCCAATTGATGTGACACCTTAGAGTCTAGAATTCAGTGTTATTTGGTTATTTAACCCAATTCGTTATTTTACTATTATCTAGAATCCTACAGACAAAGAATTGAGGAAGCTAAGAGCTAAAGAGGATTCCTCTAGTAACTTTATGGCGGACTTTGATCCAACCAGACCAAGGTATATTTTTGCCTCTCAAGATTTTATCAAATCTACTTAAAGCAGGTTATAACATTACTCTTCTTTTTAGACGAGAGAAGCAGCGAGCCTCAAAGAGGTCATCTGTTGCAGCCTCGAAGCCTGCCCGATCCAATATTCTTTTCAGCGATAAGGTAATTATGGATTTAATTTAAGAATATTCAGAAGAGCTTTAAGACAGAAATCGGGAAGTATAACTTCATTTTTGTATGATTGATGTGTATTTTAATTTTCTGACAGTAGCCGTATTCAGGGGGGGGGCAGTAGTCCTGTTCCCCCCCCCCATTGAGTTCGTCTTCAACTGTAGGGGGGCTAGGTAAACCATGAGCTTGTCCCAATTTGAAAAATATCTTAAGATTTTGTTTGATACTTGATGTATTAACGTTTATTTCTAAAAAAGCGCATTGAATTGAATATTTGAATGTGTTTAAAATCTACTCATTTGGAAATAAATGAGGTTTTTCATTCATGTGTTCGGAACAAACTAAATATAGCCAATTTCAAAGAGAACGATTTTTGGGCTTCCCCCCCCCCCCCGGGCCCCTCCCTATCAATTTTGTACATGCATCTCACATGGATAAAGTTGGCCATGTGGCCGCAGCGCCTGTCCTAGCCGCAGACCTCGGCCCCTAGCCGCTACGCTCGGTCCAGAAATTGTTTTAACCTATCCTATACCCTGAAATAATACAAAATAAATATTTTATTGTTGAAAATCTACTTCATGTACAAAATTGATAGGAGAGAGGGGGGTAAATCCGAAAATCGTTTTCTCGGACAGACCCATAAATCAACATAGATTCGAATAACCATGTTCTATTGCCAAAAGGGGGGCACCAAAGACTTTAGGCAATTGTTTCAATTTTCAATTATGTAATTCATGGCAAGGGAAAGCTTCAAAATTCTTACGTTTCTCTCCTAATCTTTCTATGTAGTATCTATCTAACTTTATTAAAATTTGCTACAACTTGATTATTTAGCTCAATTTGGAAATCAGTACACTTTTATAATTCTCTTTATATTTTTGTTCAGGGAGTACACATCAAGTCTGGTCAAGATATGTGTGATTGCTTGATCCTTGAATGCCCGGGATGTCATTTTCCGTGCCCAAAGTAAGTTTATTGTATTAAAAAGTACGAAGTAATTGCAGGGAGTACATTTTCTCGAAAAATCATTTTCCCCCACAAGTTTAATATGTTTGCGAGAAAAAAAAATATTTTTTTCGCTGAATTGGGTGAAAATAAATGAATTTTTGGGTTAAAAGTATTTAAAAGAATGAAAAATTTGCCCTTTAATGTCAAATTTATCAGTTTTCCCCCGATATCGTCCAAATCTGAAAAACATACGCCCCTCAGTAATTTATGATTCAGGTATGAAATATTTATTCCTACAATTTGACATTTTAAAGGTGTAAGAGCACGAAGTGCGGTCATGATTGTCGGAACAACCGGAAATGGCAATACGAGACGGTGGTTCCTGAAAATGAGCCGACTCGGACAAGGTGAGACATATTTTCGGATTATATGGTTTTAAATAATCTGAATGCCAAGAAAATCTTATCTCATTAACCCCCTCCCAACTGTTGTGCAGGGCTCAGACTGCTCCAGTTTTGTGTAATTTATTTTAATTTTACATGATGAAACTTTAACTGACTAATGATAATTTCAGGACGAACGCGTTTTCAATTCAACCCGGGAAGTAATACATGTTATCATCCTTCCTCTCATAGTGTTTAAACAGTTGTAAAGAAACTTTCGGCAGAAAAATCTTGTGAATTCTGATCTCGGACAAACCAGCTGTATATTTGAAGGAATTTTGTAAATATTATTTTGGGCCTGGAAAATTGTGATTTTGAGCTGAAGAAAATAATTTATAGAAAAATGTCTAAAACTATAACCTTCGTGACCGGTAATGCCAAGAAGTTGGAAGAGTTCGTGGCTATTCTCGGTACTCAGTTTCCTTACAAGGTAAGAAATTTCTTCTATCGGGACTTAATCTTTGATTGATTATGTAATGTATAACATGGTTGCTGTTAAGGTAGTATCGAAGAGTGTTGATTTACCAGAATACCAAGGAACTCCAGAGGAAGTTTGTAGGTATCTAATTAAATACATTTAAAGGGTACCATATTTAATTGAGAATTGGCATCTTTGCATGGAGGGTCACTTACGCTTACAATCTCTTTAAGTTTAAGACACTGTAAGTAATGTAAAACCCCAAATTAACCAGTGTAAAATTATATAGTTCTTGCTACACCAATCAATTACTTGTTCAGGGAGAAATGTAAAGAAGCTTCAAGACTTATACCCGGACCAGTTATAGTAGAGGATACATGCCTTTGTTTCAATGCTTTAGGGGGGCTCCCTGGTCCATATATCAAGGTGAAAATAAAACATATCAGGGTACAACGGGCCTTCAAAATAAGTTTCGAAGGCTTGAAATAGAAATTTGATTAAATAACCCTTTAAAAAACATTCCTAACTTCTATGGGTGACAATGTGGAACTAACACCAACTTTATCTACTTTATGAGGTTTGGATTATTATAAATACCAAACTAAAAATAATCCTGTATTTATTATTGTTCAGTGGTTTCTGCAGAATCTAGGAGCTGATGGTTTACCTCGTCTTATCTCTGACTGGGAAGATAAATCTGCTGCTGCTCTTTGTATGTTTGGATATTGTGAGGTAGAACATATTTTAGTAGTTTCTAATTATCTAGAAAATGATCATGAGAATCTGATCTTGGCTCATACGGATTATGTAAGGCCGATTAATGTCTGGGTATTTCTTAATTATCTTGATGGAAAATTTACTACAAAATTATTTTTCTTCAACTGAAATAAATGATTTTCAGGGGAAGGGGGGAGGGGTGCTGGACTGCACCCCTATCAAATTGTCTTATAAAAAGGGTTAAGGACCCATTTGATTTTGATGCAGATCCTGATACAGGTCATGCAAAGTTCTTTTAAGATTTACTGATTTCTTCAACAGACGTAGAATTTTAGAATTATTTTCTCTTTTTTTCTCTTCTTATTCTCTTTTATGCTAAAGTTGATGAACCTAGTTTTGGGTTTTGAGAGCAAAGGATTTTTTGCAGTTTTTTGTTGATATTTTGACGCTTGTTCCTTATACTTCTGCTAATCTGGATCCAGGAAGCCAAAATATTGCGGATTCAATGGATCCGGATCTGCTTTTAAATATGTTCTTTCTTGTTGAATACGAAAGCAAAAACTGTTCTACGGAATATAAACAAAAATATTATCTTGATGTTTATTGTTTAGGCTGAGGGAAAGGAGGTTCAGATATTCGAGGGAAGAACTGAAGGAAAGATTGTTGTGCCTCGAGGAAAACGTGATTTTGGTTGGGATCCAGTTTTCCAGCCTGATGGGTTCGAGTTAACTTACGCCGAGCTTGATGCGAGCGTAAAAAATTCAATTTCCCATCGGGGTCGAGCCCTGGAAAAAGTTAAAACTTTTCTTACCTCGAATATATCAAACTGATATCATTGTGATATTTATTTTTTTTTCATACAAGATGGGTTTAATAGAAGATGAGCTTGATGAAGTACGAAGATGCTGTGAAACTCAGGTTCCTTACACAAAGGTTAGAGAAATCTACATTTTTAAGGCAATTTAAATAATTTAGTTGAAAGGAAAAAGTATAAGAGTTCGAATCCAGAAATTGACTGGTATCCAGTAGCTATTTTTTGTTTGCTTTTTGCATCTCATTCCTCCAAAATTTAATTTGACCGAAGACGACAAGACGAAATAATTAATAGCTCAGGGTTTCCTAACAATTTTTGTACGTTTTTCCATGCATTTTTCGTTACAAAAACGCTTTACGTCTTCCGATCAATGGAACTGTCTTATAATATCAGATCCAGTGAAGTAACTCGTGTCTCTAGGTGGTGACCACAGTGCCTGCTATGGTTCGGATAGAGGTTGAGAAAACCAGTTTTAAGAAGATAATTGTTTGCTTCCTGTTCCCCTCAGAGTATCCGTCTCAACCCATACTTATTGAACTCAAGAGTAAAACATTAAAGGACAAGCTTCTCACAGGACTAACTAAGGTAAACTTATTAAGATTAAATACAGTTCACACTTCAAGAAATTTTTCGATTCCATTTTTCTATCGAGAAAGTTGTACTTTTTTAATCTGATCCATTAACTTTGATATAATATTTATTTAAAGTTATCAAAAATTCTTTTTATAGAAGTATAAATACATTTAGATTTGTGAAGATGAAGCCAAAAAAAATATAGGGAAACCACAGGTACTTTGATTTTATTAATCAGACCTGTTAATCTGCTTGTCTATACTGTGAAATAATCTAATACCTCGCATACGCCCTCTACCGGTGACAAAGATCATGGGTTTTTCATTCCTACTACCTTGTCACAAAAGCTAAGACATGTTTTTTTGCCAGATTATTTTGGTGCTCAAGCTCATTTCAAAGTTCCTTGAGGAGAACCCTTTGTCTGCCTGTGCAGATGAGATTTCAACGCTTAAATCCTTACTTGGTCCGGAGGACTCGATCAGGAAATCAGGAAACATTTATATAATCTTTCTTTTTTTACCAGCGCGCCTGATCATTTCTGTTCTTAAAGCTTCAATTCTTTACTAATTTTTTTAAGATTTTTTAATGCGAGTAGCAACTAGCAGGGTTTTCAAGATATCTTTAAAAAATTAATGCTTTTGGGGTAAAATTAATTATAAAACTTCAGCTTTTTACTCCCTTTTTTGTGAGTTTCTTCCAAAATTATAATAACTTTTGGTTATGGAGGATGATTTTTAAGGTCGTCAAGGTCAAATATTCCTTTAGAACAAACAAACAAACAAAACGCATATTTTCATCTACAGAACTAAATTATTTTGTTTAATCGATAATATCAGCTCTCCTAATTCAAAATTTTTCGATTGTTAATTTTCTGATTTATGTGCAGGCTTTCTCAAAAGAGCAGCACAGTCAGTTTAAAGTTGCAGAAAAATAGGTAAACACATAGGTTCTTCTTTACGGCTTTACAGTGATTAAAACATTAAAAAAAGAATTCATGAAACGAATCTTTAAAACTGAAAACATTAGCAATCCGTGCTCGTATTTTAAAAACTTGTGAAAAAATGTATTAAACGGCTATTTTTTAAAGAAAAGTGCCAGTCATTTTATTCAAACGATATTAACTGGGTACACCTTGCAGCTAAACAAGTAAACCTAAAAATTAACATTATCAAGGAACGCCCTGCAGGCTAAACAAACTATTCCTGAAAACTATCATTATCTAGGTACACCCTGCAGGCTAAACTAACTATACCTGAAAACTATCCGATAGAACGTGTTGATATTGGAGCAACTGATTGTAATTTCCCAAGGTAAACGTTTACTCGATATCTGTAAAGAACGAATAAATTAGCTATTTATTAAATTTGGGTTGCATTGCACCTCTTAATCAGACATTACAGCGGTGAAAACTCACTGAAATGTTAATTATTGCGTCAACTGATCCATTTTGGGTTGCATATTTTCTTGGAAAATCATTCCCCTCTGTTTAAAATCATTCCCGTTCGNTTAGAAGTTAGGTGTATAGGGTTTTATTTGCTGAATTGGGGTAAACGAATCTTTTATATCTTGAAAACACACTCATACATAAGATTTTGTATTGTAGGGTATTTAAAGTATGGTTTGTAGAGAATGCTAAAGAGCTTGCAAGGAATTCATCTTTTAAGAACTATTCAATGTTAACACAAATTGTGATTGTTATCAATACTTTTGCCCTGCCTTAAGCATTACAAAATAAATTTGTTAACAGATGGATTATAGAAGATGTGTGGAACCTCCCTTGAAACCAAAACCAAACCAACCTAGGCAACTTTTCCAATGCATTCTAGAAAAATTAAATAATTCTTAACTGGACAGTATTTTCCCCTTAGTACTTCTTATACAAACTTTCATTTATCCCTTCAAGGGACCGAAGGCATAGTTTAAAGTGACCCTCAAATCAAAGTTTTTATATTTACGAAATATACACAACGGAAAATAGGAATTCTTATTTTCGTACCTTAGTCTACTTCTTAGATTAAACATAGAAAAAAGAAGGACTAGCTCCCATCATTTTTGACCATATAAAACTTCATAAGGTTTGATATTGATATTAGATATTTCGTCGTCAGTTCAATTAAACTAGTCATTTATTTTCCCAATTGAGCAATAACATTTGCCGTTCCTAGCTAGCATTGTTAAATGGGGGGGGTTAGTATCAACGAATTACATAAACCTAATTAATGTAAGTGTGCTTGGACACTGAAAGGTTTAATTCTTCAAAATTACCACTTTAACACGGAAAATATTCTATTTTAGAAAATATCTATGATGGGAAGTTTTAGTTGAGTTTTAAAATGAGTTACGTTTATTTTGATATCAAACCTCAGAAATAGTTTCCAAGAACAAAAAATTCAGCTTGTTCGCTCATAGGGCTTTGATTTGATTATGTCTTAGCCTATAGTAGAAAAGTTGATTGATCAAGGTTTGAAGCTAAAACTAGTTTACTTCCTGCTGCAAAATTTTTAATTGAAAGTGTTCAGAGATATCCTTGTGAACCTTGTCAGATTTGTCGACAGGTACTTATCCTTATCTCCTCTCTTCAGTATCGGATTCCATTTTTATCCATTTATCTTTTATACCAAATTCTTGTTTTTATCCCTTCGTTTAAACTATTTTTTTTCCACATAATCACCACTGCATCTATTATACCACATTCTTATCGGATTTACTACATATCCAAATCAGCAATAATATACTATTAAGGACGGGAATCCTGTTATAGAGGATAGCTTTAAGATATTACAGCTTAAAAACTTCGTATGCAATTTTAAAATTTTGGTGTTGACAAGCCGATAAGGATATAAATTGTATCCAAAAGACCACGTATAGTGGCATTTCCGTTTCATTACGGTACTACTGATCATTCAGTGATCATGGATGATGGAGTGGTTCGATATTTATTAGCCAAAACCAGTGCTTAGTCTCCATTTAATTTTGATCCGGATCCAGGTCATTTCTTTAAGATTTACTGAATTTGTTTGACAAAAAATAATTTTCCAACTTTTGTTTTTTTCGCTTATTTTTATCCTAAAATTTGATGAACCATTCAGAAATGAGGAAAGTTTTATAATATCTCTTTTTTATAAGTTTAGATTTGTTTTTTTTTTGGCTCATTTTGGTTGATATTTTACCCCCTTGTATCCGGATTCGTGGTTCCGCATATTTTTGCGGATCCGGATCCAGGAAGCAGAAATCTTGCGGCTGGCCAAAACGCTTGGAATTCTGAATAACTCTTCTAAAAATATTATTATCCGATTTCTTCGGCGTCCGTGTTAAGACAAAGTTTTAGAAGGTACCAAGCATAATAAAGAAGATAGGTTTCTAAGGCAACTAAATAATCTCTAATTTTATTCAGGTTCTATTTCCAGCGGACCCTGAAGCTGCAATACATAATGAAAAGGTATTGAATTATTGAAATGTAGTGTAAGCTTAAATTTTAAATCCAATTAAACATCACGTTTTTTATATTTTATACTTTGTAGATGTGAAGGGTTTGGGTAAATATTAAACATTTTTAAGTGTTAATTACGTTCTAATATTTTTCAGGCAGCCGCTCATGTTGAGAGGGTTTATTGTGGGCACGCCTACCATCACGACTGTCTTATATTATACATGAAAACACCACCTTTTCAGGTTAGTAAACAACATGATTTGGTGGCCTAGCCTCATTTCGATTTTTAAACGGTTTTCTAGTTAAATATCTTTCCTGATCTTAGTGCTTGGTCCCAAATGTTATGATTTAGAAATTAAGCAATCTGTAAAAACTTTATTCATATTCAAAGGCATATGTATTATATATTTTTAGCCCCCTCATAATAGTACATTTCCTTTGCGAACTTTACAGTGTTTTCCCTCCGAAAATCTGTTTTCCTCGGTTTAAAGATATTGTGTTAATACATATTTTTTAACTTAAAATTCGGTGTTGATAATTATCCAAACCTCATAAAGTTAATAAAGGAGATGTTACTTTCACATTTTTGAAAATATATTTCGGTCGGGGTTGACCCTCTACACTTCTACAGTTCTAACGATATAATCACCATCTGAGTCAATATATTAAAAATGTTAAATCACAAGAAACTAAACAAACCAAAACTTTTTTTTAATGGGTTTTCAGATAAAAAAACTGGGATCATGAATTACGGTACATAAAAAAAGATAATATACAAATATTCACTTTTGAGAGAATGTTGAAAGAAAATTATTCCTTGATTTGTTTCTGTCATGAAGAGATAAAACAAACTGTTTAAATGTATTCGTACTAGGCTTTTAGGGCGCTTCGCGCCCATCTTCTATTTAAATTGTGAACATGTTCTTTTTGTTTACATTTTAAAACAAAGAAGAAAAAAATTTTGCGGATTTTTAAAAAAAAATTCGCGGATTTTCATGAATTAAAATTTTTTAACAAAATTAAAAACCTTTAAAACACAATTTTTTTTTCATTTTTATCATTTATAAACCTTCCCTGTGGTCACGTGATGTCCCACATAAAATTTGGGCCCGATCGGTTCAGCCGTTTTGACGTTTATTGGATACAAACAAACAGACAAGCTAAATTTATATATAGATAAAGTGGGGGTTACATAATACATATTTTGTAATTATTTAATCAAAGTTGTATCCCCGCCCCTTGTGATTTGATTTGATTTGATGTAAATGGTATAGCCAACGATAATGATCATATTTTATATATATAGAACGGGAAGAAATGTCCAGGGTGTGGAAACAGAATTTATCATGAGAAGTGGAAAGTTACTCCGGAGCTAGCAGAGGCCAGGTGAAGACAGAATTCAACTAACTCAACTTATATCTTAAAAGAGGATCGGGAAAAAATTGTAATAGAGGTCTGAACTTGTTTTTAAAGAATTGTAAAATTTAAATTTTAGGGCGGATTAGAAATATTCAAAGGTGGGAATAGAAAGATTTATAGTAGGACGGATTAGAAAGATGAATGTTAGGACAGATTAGAAAATGTTTTAAGGACGTAAAAAATTAGAAAGATGTATTTAAGACAGATAGATTCATGACTTGAACAGTGAAAACAGAAAGAAACTGAGATTTTAATTTAATAAATGTAAACAAACTATTTTTAGGTGGGCAAGTGAGCAGGCAAAAGCAAGGGAGCTGGGAGACGTGGTGGAGTTCATTAAAGATTGTACTTTATGAAATTATTGTGCATTTATGCTTTCACTTCTAGGGTTCATATTTATTAAATTTCAACCTCTCAAAATTGTTTCAACCAGATATTAAATGAGTTTAAAGTTATTAAAGGGAGTGTTCGCGGGTATGGGGGTATAGGGTTACGGCGAAAAATAAGCGCTTTTTATCGTTACTAATCTTACTTCTATCTGTTGTGTCTATAAGGAAAAAATTGTTAAAAACTCATGCTGGAGAACATAGCATCTATGCAAATTCAGAAAGTTGAAATATTCAACTCGGATCGTAAAATAATCAATTTAATTCCAAACAAATCATTCAAATATAAAAACCAATAATCATCGATTATTTCTCGACACATTCGTTTAAAGTTAATATTTCATGATATTTTTTTTTTTTTTTAATTTTTGCTGGCGCTGAATTTTCAAACATTCCTGGAAAATATGAAAATGTCGTCTTCATTATCAGAATCTTCGAAACAGAAATAAATGTTTACAAAAGTAACTACCAGCAAAAAAAATATTATGAAATATCAACTATATGCGCGCGAATGCGTCGAAAAATTATCGATGTAATGGTTGTAATATCTGAACGATTTGTTCGGAATTAAATTGAATTTTTTTAAATCCAAGTTGAATGTTGCAACATTCTGAATTTTTTATGGACGCTACGGTCTTCGGTATGAGTCATTTTTAACAATTTTCTCCTTATAGACGTAACAGATAAAAGTAAGATTAGTAGCGATCAAAATCGCTTATTTTTCGCCGTAGGCCTATACCTTTAATTTTTCGCAAACTATCCCTTTAACGTTTGCTCTATTCAATAATTTTATGAAGGTCTTTATAATGTAGGAAAATATATCAAGGAGGTAAAGGGTGTTTATGATATTAACCCTATACTCCTGGGGCTGAAACAGATTACTTCATTTTATATATGTTTTGCCAGACCTATTTTTTATATTATAATTTTATACAAATAGTTTTCATTGGTTATTTATATACCTAAGCAAAGTTTGTTCGGTCCTGAATACGTTAGTCGTTTTTCTATTTTTTTTCTTCTATTTCCTGCTTAGCAGGTTAATTCTCCGCATATTCATCCAGAGCTCGTTTTATTTGTACGTATCGTACTAAACATAATTACTTATAGCTGCATGCTTGGGTCATCAGTATTGAATCGTGTGATAAAGGTTTTAAGATGTAATTAATAATTATATCTTTGACTAATACAAATTCAGCTGAATTCGTTTCTTAAATCTTTGAGGCATTTTTACGTAATTTAGCGTTAAAGCATACACAAACTTCTAAATGATGGGAAGGACACCCGTAATACCAGATTTGTATATGAAATATAAAAATGAAATATGAAATGAATATGAAATATAAAAATTTAATTTCAGATACAGAATGGCCGATTTTCTTGAAGTTGACAATGCTGAGGTTTTTGATGGAGATATGGAGGAGGAAAATATCTCCAGACTCAAGGTGCATAGGTTTCTTTTCAGAGGCCAGGATTATATGTGTTAACTCTTTGATATTAAATAGCTAAATTTTAACTTATGAGAAAACAAATAGATTGTGAATGAGGCACTGTGATTTTGTACAATTTCAGATTATTTATTCTGGCATTTAGTTCCGTTTATTCCGAAATCTTTGGAAGGTATTTAGAAGATATGACACCAAAAATTAGAAATATCTTTGGAGCCTTCTTTGCTTTGCAGTGCTTAGGAATTTAGGATCCGGATCTGGATCCAAGGAACAAAATATCGACCAAAAACAGTAAAATAAAAAAGGAAATTCTTATCTCTGAATGGTTTTAGCACTAAAAGCGAAGAAAGATGAAAAATAATATAGAAATAAATTAAATGGATCCTGCACTGCCTTTTTGAGAAAATATATATTAAGAAGTCGTCGAAATCATGTTACCAAAGACGTCTGAATGAAAGAACTAAAATGCCAAGATGAATAACTTGAAATTGAAAGTGAACAATGGAGGGTACATCAGAGCTTAGTTCCAATATCAAAGTAGTCCTTATTTTTTCATTTTACTAAATAAGTTACTCAAGAATTGATTAATTATCAGTTTTTGTACAGGAGAAGGCAAAGAGGAGGAAGGGACGTGGATTCGACGGAGCTGCGTCAGATCGGGAGGATGGAGACTATGATCGTGTCGAAGATCAAGCTGAGGGTGAACCTGGACCCCAGCGATCCATTGAGGGATGGATTCTGTTCGTGACCGGTATCCACGAGGAGGCACAGGAGGATGATATCCACGACAAGTTCTCCGAGTTCGGAGAGATAAAGAATATTCATCTGAACCTGGACAGGAGAACTGGATTTCTCAAGGTAGCCATACTGAATTTTATATAATGTTGAAATGCTCTTCATTCATAATTTTACAAGTTGTTTGGTGATCCATGAATGATAGGTATTGCGTATTTGTGGAATATGATCTGCTTTATACTACGACTTTTATACAAAATTGCTTATATATGAATTTTGGTATAAATTTGACCGTTTTATATCAATTTCTCGAGACAGGTATCGTTCAACCCCTGAGATTCTCAGGTTTAATCCTATACCCCCTTTCATTTTTCCTTTTTAGTCCCTTTAATAACAATTGAATTTAAGTCACTTTAATCGTCATAGTATTAAAAAATTTTAGTCAAAATCTTTCATTCTTGATTTAGGGTTACGCTCTGGTGGAATATGAAACGTACAAGGAAGCGTTGTCGGCCAAGGAGGAGTTGGACGGAAGCGATATCCTCGGCCAGAATATCGCCGTTGACTGGGCTTTCGTTAAAGGTCCCAGGAAGACTGGAAAGAAGAGCCGAAAGTAATCATGAATCCTGTGTTTTACATTAAATAAATTCACGGAAGTACTCGAGATGAATTCGATTTGTTTGTATAACTAACTGTATTGTAATTTTTTCCTGCGTGTGTAATAAACAGTTTTTTTGGAAACGTCAATTTCTCTTCAATTTTCAGAGAAAATGCCTGGGAAGGGAGGAGGAGGAGGAAAGGGTGGGAAGGGAGTGGGGTTTGCTAAACCTGCAGATCCAGCATTTATCCGAAGATTAAAAGAGCTTCATGGATATAAGGCAAGACCAGTTCATTAAAACAGATATTATCATTACTCCCTAATAATCGAGCTTCAGAGTTGGTTGGAATTGTATATTGTATGCGATTAAAATATTAATTAGCAAACCAGAATTTTTTTTTCTGAAGATTTACATAGGGATGAATAAGTTCTTACTTTAATGGAAATCGATCTGATCGGTTTTGTTAACGACGTAGAAAAAAATGAATAACTGAACGATCGTTTAACAATCGTTAACGGTGATCCTTCTTCCTGTTTTACTTTCAACAACTTTTTATTCTTTAAAGTTTAAATCTTATTCACCAATGTGAAATCTTACAAAATAAGTTGACTAAAAATAATTTCATCATAATAGCTGAAAAAATAATTTCCTAGATTTATTCTCTTTAAACAAAATAAAAAGCGTTACATAATTGAAATATATTTTTTGAATGAAAAATATAAAAAATACAGATCTTCTATTATAAAAACCTTGAACTAAATCACAATAACTGAACCATGTTAGTTAAACCTTGAACTAGATCACGTAAAGATAAACACTGAACAGTGTAACTAGATTACAAATAACAACCCACATGTACAAGCATTTTAATATTTAACAGAGTACATGTTTATCTTATTTCAAGAATACGCGAATAGTTGACCCAAATAACACCAAGAAAGTGTTCAGAGCTGGGAACTTTTAAATTGTGGATATCGGGATTAATGCTTAATCCACTCTTTTTCTTATTTTCGAGATTAAATAATGCTTGTTCTCCTCTTGTTATTAATCTCCAGATTAATTAACCGATCGGGATTAAGCATATCCCATTCTAAAGTTTTCAGCTCAGATTAATTAACTGATCGGGATTAAGGATATCCCATTCAAAAGTTTTCGGCTCAGAACTTTTTTCCATCCCCGTGCATTTTCTTCTCTTGTCGTTAACCGGCTTTATTCATTGGTTTGAGTAGCTAGCTAACTAACGAAAAGTGATAAGCCAGTTAAAAAAAAAAAACTTATAATTTATCTTTTTATCAGTATGATTTTTATTTATTTATTTTATTTAGATAGTTATGTCATTTAAATACTTTATGAACTTTTCTTTTATGGTGATTAATTTCCTTTTAACATTTGAGCATTTCAATGCCTTTAAAAAACTTGCGTACTTAATTTTAAGGTGCCCTTTATTTCAAAAGCGCAAAATTGACGATTTAGAACGGGGTTACTTTTGAAATAATTGTCTGAGAAGCAATGGCAGTTGTATTTTTAACCATCATTATTATCAAAAATTAAAAAAACTTTTAGATTTTTTTCTTCTAAAATACTGGTTTGTTAGGCACATTTTTACCAATTCCGGGGGGGGGGGTTATTTTCTTTGATCATTACCAATGTTAAATAATCCAGGAAGGTCCAAGTATAGAAGACAAGATGAGACAGGACGGGTTGGATGATGATGAAGGAGATGAGGATGAAAGAGATGGCAAGTAATTTATTAAATAGTTTCTTTCCTGGTATTCGATGAACATTTCAGGGTGGGATTACATTTTTCGTAACAACAAGTTTTTTTCCAAATAAAATAACTTTTATGGGTGGAGACGGTGAGGACTATCAAATCTCAACCTATTATTTGATTTAAATAATAACTAATAAGGTCTTAGGGAATCTATTCAATGTTTAAACATGGAATTTACTTGGACGAACATTGGCCAATGTTTTTATCAATTTACATTAAATCGTAACTCAAGAGAGAAGTATATTTTCCTGAACTCCAATTCTGTTTCAGAGAGAGACCAGAGGTTGTAGTCCTGAACTGGTATTTTGTTCAGGAGAGAAACCGGTGTTTGTAATACTGAACTGGTATTTTATTCAGGAGAGAAACCGGTGATTGTAGTCCTGAACTGGTATTTTATTCAGGAGAGAAACCGGTGGTTGTAATCCTGAACTGGTATTTTGTTCATGAGAAAAACCGCTGGTTGTAGTCCTGAACTGGTATTTTGTTCATGAGAAAAACCGGTGGTTGTAGTCCTGTACCGGTATTTTGTTTAGGAGAAAAACCCGGTGGTTGTAGTCTTGAACTGGTATTTTGTTTAGGAGAGAAACCGGTGGTTGTAGTCCTAAAATCTGGAGATTTAACACAAGAAGAGGCAGACAGATTGATTGGAAATAACAAAAATAAAGGTACATAAACCCTAGTTCTAGAAGTTGACCAGATTAATCTTGTGACCATGGTTCAGTATTTTTTAGTGAAATTACATCTCCCAGCTTAAGGGCGAATAGAGGAATTTGTGAGAGTAGAGCAAACTTTTTTACTTTTTTTTATGTTAGGTTAGAGACATTGGTTTCGGCAGGATATCGTGCAAGTTTGGAGGAATAGTTTTAAAATCAAGTTCTTAAAATAAAACGGTGTCCGAATTTAATGAATTTGAGCCGCGTCTTAAATCCACCAAAAACCGGTTTCAATTGAATACAATTTTAAATGAAACCAACCATATTCGAGCCGCGGCTTAAATTTAAGCCGCAGCTCAAATTCTTTAGATTCGGTCTCGGGTTTCTGTTATATTTTTCTCCTAAAAAAATAGTATTTCAGCCCAAAGACACACTTTACATCTCATTGTATAATTGCAAGGGGGCTGGGGAATGATATAAAAATAAAGGTTTTGTCATTTTTATACAGATGTCATAACCTTAAAACGGTTGGGGGTGTATTTCTCCTGAAAGAGACTACTATATACTTAATTAATCATTTACTAATTAAGAGACAATGTATGCAAAAAATTGTTTTATTCATTCTTATAAATTGAAATTAAGTAGCCAGAAGCGGTCCGCGTTCTCTAGTTACACATACATTTTTTAAGAGGGTCAGGACGACGGACGTCCCCCCAATTTCCCAATTTTCCTGGGAGGAAAATTCCTTTTAATTTTCTACGGGGGTGTGTACCATAAGCGGAAAATTCAAACTTTACTACATTTAATATGAAATAAAAAATTTTTAACCACAGGGAGTTTAAGAATTTTTTCCAGATGTTTTTCCGTAGCTCCCCCAAAATGCACCAGGAGGATTATGTGTTTTATGGCTCCTACTTTATCTGCCCCTTCCCCTTTCTGAAAAAATTAATTGAATCGAATTTTTTTTATTTTGAAAAAGTAGAACTTTAGAAGTTAAATAGAAATTTTAACTTAAGGACATACCGTGATGATAACTTATAGACTAAGACGAAAAGATAAGGGTTTAATTTCCTATAATCAATCGAATAAAATTGATTTAATTGCTGAATCTAAATCAAATATCTCCATTCGTCCTTGATAATTTATTTATATGAGCGAATTGTCATGTATACGATTTCGACCATGTAATATTTAATAACGTAACTTCTAGGATACTACGATCTTTATATTTTAGAACCTGAAGAAGCTCCTCCTCCTGACGGCCGAATTCTTTTCAAAAAACCTGTCAAAAAACGAGAGTTAGATGAAGCCTCTGAACAAAAGACTGAACTAAAAAAGAATAAGAAAGCAAAAAAGAAAGAGAAAAGTTTGCTATCGTTCGATGAAGAGAATGACGAGGAAGATTAAAAGTACAAATCTTGTAATACAAACTAAAGAAAATAAAAATTTTACAAAAGTTAGTTTTTCTAAAAGATTATTTCGTTTTCACTCAACTTTTCAAACTCAAAAGCCTTATTTTTTTATAGCTTAACTTGCAGTTTAAGAAATATGAAAAAATGGCCAATTAGAAAATCCTTAATGACCTTTAAGTAGATCTTAAAAATCTGTTATCAAACTTTTTATCTTCAAACTAATTTTTATGGATCAACTGCTGAAGCTGTTTTTTATCATAATTCCACACAAACATTAGTAAGCTTTCAATGAGTACTTTTTAGGGTCAAAAAGAGTTTTTCTGAGCAAATGCATTTTATCATTTATTCATGAATACTTCTGGTTTTCTTTTTGGGGTCTATACATTTGCGTAGATTTTAATTTAAGAAATCAGAAAAAAAATAGAATTTAAAGAAACCTCATGAAATGGTATTTCTTAACACAAATATTGGTATCTGAAAACGGGAAACTGGGTTTCATTACGATACTCTGTCTTAAGTTTTGGGCTCTTTGTTGAATGTTCAATGTTTCATATCGTAGTCGTCTTCTTTCACAGTTTTCGGTCCAACTCTTTATTGAAAATATTACATTGATTTTATTGTACCGGGTGCACGGGTACCAAGTATCATGGAAATCTCAATAGACGATCCAAAAATCGTACGATTATATTTATATTTGATGTACATGTAGGGATGGGCATCGGTTTTAGGTACGTTTTTAAACATTTTTGGGCTTAAAGGGAGTGTACTACACTTCACATATGGGTCCAAAAGTTAAATCGATTTTCGAGACTGGGTCGACTTCAAAGTGTTGCAAGGCCTTTTTATTTTACCTCACTAACTCAATTATACTTTTTTGTAGCCCTAGATGTGTACATTTTAGAACTATAAAGCAATTCTTTTCAGCATATAGTTCAAGGAAGTAAATGGCAAAAGTCTCGTAGATTTTTGGGTTGAGAGCTTGCAATCGTAAATCGTTCTGGTTAATATCTTCGGGCACACTAAAATTAGAATATACACCCTAGACTTTTAGAGCCTCTTAAAAGTATAAAAACTTTAAATGTTGAAAAGATACCTCAATACTAAGCCCTTCATTATACAGGATGTTTTACATTATATTGGATCGAGCGCAACTCTAACTTTGAATTTTAGGCCTAGACGAAAAAAATTAATTGATAATTTGAGACATTTGAAACGTGCATAAAACACAGAGAATTTATAAGATTTAATTTTATATTTTAATTCTTTTTTGTCTTTTCCTGGCTAAATCGTCTTTGCTTTCTTCGATTTTTTTTGTAAACATAGCATGTGTTAACTCTATAGAGTTGAAAACATTGGTTCTGTTATTAAAATCTTGGAATAAATTCTGTTCGAAATTTGTAATAAATTGAAAGCTTAGAAAAGTGTTATTTATTTTCATACCAATGCTGGGGTAATTTTCCAGAAAAATACAGAACTTGACTTAAAGAATGATAATCTAAGTAAAAATATATGATTTTCAGGTTTATAAATAGTTAAATCAGAGTATGGTTCAGGTTAAAGATGAATAGAGTAGGGTATGCTAAAGTGGCTACATGGCTCAAATTTGGTCGTGTGCTGAGATCTTTACCTACTAAAGCAATACCTGACTTTATACTCAACCAGAGTTCGTAAACCTATTAGAATGTAATTTTCATTAGACATTTTAAAACATTGGTAGAGATCGGGCTGAAAAACCCGGATGTGGGCAAGACTTAAAACTCAAACCTACTTTTAGGAGCCTTAAGCCAGCTCTACTAATATGATTTGATTTGATTTGATTTGATTTGATTTGATTTGATTTGATTTGATTTGATTTGATTTGATTTGATTTGATTTGATTTGATTTGATTTGAATTTGATTTGATTTGATTTGATTTGATTTGATTTGATTTGATTTGATTTGATTTGATTTGATTTGATTTGATTTGATTTGATTTGATTTGATTTAGAGATGAGTAGGGTTCAGGTTAAAAATTGATAGTATTGAGAATAGAGAAGAATAGGGTTAAGGATTAAGATGAGTAGAGTACAGGTTAGAGATGAGTAGAGTGCAGCGTAGAGAAGAGTAGGGTTCAGGTTTAAGATGAGTAGAGGTACAGGTTAGAGAAGAGTAGGGTTCATGTTAAAGACGAGTAGAGTACAGGTTAGAAAAGAGTAGGGTTCAGGTTTAAGATGAGCAGAGTACAGCTTAAAAAAGAGTAGGGTTAAGGTTTAAGAAGAGTAGAGTACAGGTTAGGTAAGAGTAAGGTTCAGGTTAAAGATGAGTAGAGTACAGGTTAGAGATTAGTAGTGTTCAGGTCTAAGACAAGGAGAGTGCAGCTTAGAGAAGCGTAGGGTTCAGGTTTAAGATGAATAGAGTGCGCAGGTTCAGTTCAGGTTGGAAAAAGTACCAAAAGGTCAAAAGTTTTTTTGTTGTGAATCCCAGTATTAAGAAATCAGTTTTCCTTATCTCGTGCAGTCAGGATATCACATGGTGGTGCTACTCTCAGAGATCAAGTACTTATCCTTCCAAGCTAAAGTTGTCACGGGCCATATACCACAACCGTGTTAACCTCATAACCCATAGTAATTACTAACCTAAACCTAAATCTGAAGCCCTTTATAGTTTATATAACGTTTCAGACCTAATTTACACTATATTAAATTCCGGATGACAAAATTGAATAAGAACCTTATTTTCAAACGTTTTCATTAGTCAATACAATCATTTTAATTAGAAGACCGTTCTTATTTAAAAATATGATGGGGTGGGTGTAAAGGTTAGCTGAATGGATATGATGGGGTGGGTGTAAAGGTTAGCTGAATGGATATGATGGGGTGGGTGTAAAGGTTAGCTGAATGGATATGATGAGGTGGGTGTAAAGGTTAGCTGAATGGATATGATGGGGTGGGTGTATAGGTTAGCTGAATGGATATGATGGGGTGGGTTTAAAGGTTAGCTGAATGGATATGATGAGGTGGGTGTAAAGGTCTGCTGATTGGATAGTGAAGCGTGGTTTAAAGAAAAGGTCCAGATAGGAAAATAGTTGAAGGGAGCTAAAATAAAGAGTGGAATGGAGTGGATGATCGTTAAGGGGAAGGAAGGAAGGGGAGATGGGAAAGGTCTGGATTATATCACTTAGTAGGTAGTACAAACTGGACTGAAAAAAATGGAAGATAAATATGTAAAAGATGATATTGGGGAAACACAAGATAGTTTCTTCTATTTTCTCGTTTGACGAGACTACTACAGATGGTGCTGCTGGCCCAGGCCTCAACAGTGTTTAGTGCAGAAAGGTATCCAGGCAGATCTAGTTTTAGCTCAGTGTAGGTTTATACTGCGGCGCACATCCTAGAACCATGATATTTCAGGAGACTGCATTTACAAATAAACAGTGAAGAACTATGTTAGCAGACATCAAAACATAGGTTTTTTTGAATGAACGGTAGGATTTTGATTGAACAGTATGATGGGGAGGATTCAAATACAATTCATCATCTTTCTCACTTATCTAGACTTGTACTCGAGTATTCTCAGGCAAGAATATTAAAACTTTGTTATTAACACCAAACATTTGAGAAGGTTGTAATTTATAAAGAAAATTTTCCTAAGTTTGTAATTTTAGTGACAACTTTGTAAGTTTTCTAGTTTTTTAATCTTTCCAAAACATTATTGAGTTAAATGTTTGTATTCTTGAAAAGTGTGAAAAAGTGTTGTCTGGAGAATGAAGTTTTGGATATATATTATAAAACCTGCAGACCTGCACCTCAGAACTACAAGATGGGATTCATCCAGAACATAACCTTTCCTACCTTTCCTCTTCTACCATTAGACGAACATGAACAGATTCCATTCCTCTCAATTCCTTTCAATGGAACACATGAATTGAATTGTCCAGTAGAAAACCGTTTACTCTACAATGGAAGTAGAAACTCTAGTGTCTTATTTTCTAAAAATACAAATCCTGGTAACTTATATTATTTTATGGTTCATGACAAAACAAATCTCATTTAATGTAGCTGTTCAATGTACAATGAAATTATATTGTTATATCGAACCTTGTCTAAAGTAAAAATTGTGAGTAAAGTTTTTTTCATTCTTTATTGCATTATGTGAACTGCGTAAAAGATCCAAATTAATTTGAATAAGTAATAATGGGTTTAATGACCATGGCTTATGAATTCCTGTAGGACTTAATTTTATTTAAACTTTAAAAATTTTCTAAATAAGATTTTGTAAAATAACTAGAAATAGAAAAATTTTTATATCCCTAACATTTCTTTCATAATTTCGAACAAAATTTTCTCGGTACCTTTGATATTACAAATGTTAGAGTTCTTCGAACAGTGCACGAATTGTTGCAAAAGACTGACCATTACTAAAATCTATATATTTGTGCAGGGTATAGAACATATAGCCTACTAGCAGGAAGAGTAAAATATGAGGCAGAATTTTTTTGCTTGGATTGGGCATTCAAAGCTGAAGGTTTGATATACTTTTATTTAGACTTTTTATTTTCATAAAATAATTTTAATTACAAATCATGTCATCAAATGACATATTCAGTTACACAGCATGGGCAAGGTAATAATGCAAGGAAAGTTAATTGCGGTTGTGTACACTCTACGTTCATATTGAAACCAGTTCTCGCTGGGCGGAATTTGTATACAAGAATATATGCATCAGTGTTCGTCTAGTATCTGTGGAGAATTAAAGCATTTAATTTTGATAATTTTGATAATTCAAATAACAGTTCCCTACGACCAGAATATTTCATAGATTATTTTTGTGGAAATGGATTCCATGTCAGGCTGTGGAATCTGTCTTGCGTTTACTTTTCCGCCCAAACACAGTACACTGCAGTACAAAAAAATACGTACACCTATGAAATAACTTTCCTTGCATTAGTACCTTGGCTCTGGGAGAATTATCTTTTTGCAGTGTATCAACTTAACTTTAAGTGACCCTTTAGTTATAGAGTGCCATTAAAGATTTATAATAGAACCCTTAAAGCCTAAAATTATCTTTATTTTATCTGTAAATTGATATTCTTGCGTTTTGGCTCTGCTAGAAAGGTACTTGTGAATGTCAGAAAACTCCATCACTACCAAGATAACGGATTAAATCATTGATGGCACTTATAGTTAAATAATCACTTGTAATAAAGTTGACCACTTCTTTTAAGTTCTTTTCAAAGTATTAAAGATCACATTGCCATAAATTTGTAAAATAATTAAAATTTGTATCATTTAGAAACTTTTCTAGAAAGTGATAATTTAAGATTAGCATATTTTGTCAATAAAATATTTCATAAAAATGTTTTAGATGAAGATTCGTATACAGCGTTTGCACTGGTTTGTTCTAAGTGTGACGAGCCTTGTGTAAGGTATTATCAATATTATCAAATACTAGTTTGGGAACCCAGCGCTGCCGAGGTTACCAAAAGTTACTTCCTCCGTTTACCCGCACTTGAACGATTTTACCGGGAAATTAAATTTTCGCTATTTAAGTCGACCCACTATATTAAGAATCTTAAAACCAAGCTAAGAACATTTCCGTGGGCCTCTCGAGTTCCCCAATCAAAAATTTGAGGCAAATCGGTCCAGGGGTTCCTGGGTTATAATTGGACAAACAAACAGACAAACAGAGATTAAAATTTTATATATACAGATATATACGTATTATAATTGATATGGATTGCCGGCCACCGGATAATTATTTTCAACTGCAGTTTCAATCATTCTTTTTAACAATTTCACTTCTTTTATTAGATTAATGATTCTAACGAACCATCGTACAGGAAAAAGTAGCATGGAGACAAATTGAAATTATATATAAAATATGGCCAGGTTCAGGAGAAGCTGTTTGTACTCATCCCCAAGCTTTTAGGGGATTTTTTTTCGAATTTTAGTTTTGGGAAAACTGAAAATTTTCAGCAAAACATTTATTTATAATTCAACTCAAATCTCTATATTATATACCTCCAGTTTTTTTTGTTTTAATGCAAAAAAAAACTACTCAGAAGCTTGTCATGGAAAGAAAACATAATCAAAATATCTATCTTTATAAACTATAATGTGTGATAAGTTTAAAATCTAGTTTTTTTAGTCTTTAGTCATTATTTATTTTGACCCTTTTTAAGTTTTTCAGGTAAAAAAATTTTCGCTTTCGGCGCAACTCTTAATTACCTTATCTGGGATTTCTNCTATCCTGCCTAATAATGTACAGTGTACTGCATTACTTAAACTATCCTGCCTAATAATGTACAGTGTACTGCATTACTTAAACTATCCTGCCTAATAATGTACAGTGTACTGCATTACTTAAACTATCCTGCCTAATAATGTACAGTGTACTGCATTACTTAAACTATCTTACATAGTTATTAGTGGCACAAGTTGGATCCGGATCCATTTTTTACTGGATCCGGATTCGCATCAAAATTAGAAGGATCCTTGCACTGGTTGATTTCCATTTGAGGGTCTTATACAACTTCCTTCTAACATACTAATTGTATTCGTGGCTTTTTGGAGAAGCATTTAAAGATTTTTCAGTGAGAAGTTCAAATTATGACATCTGGGGATCTTTTACGTTACAATGCAGAAAAGGTCACATATTTATAATTACAATTCCCTATTCCCTATGTGATACTAGAATTTTTTACTGTTTGATTAATACAATTTTATTGAAACAATATTAAAATTAAATTTTTTTTTTTAAGTGTGTGTCATACATCTGACATTGATGGGAAAACACTTGCATTAGAAAATAAAACCTATCAAAAGTAAGTAAATTTTTTTTCAAACCTTAAATAAAACATTTGTATATTTAATGAAAATATTTTGACGCATCATTGAAATAAATGTGGTGATGATATGACAGGATTTAATTATACATATTTCAAGATAATTGGGTTAATTGAAATTTGATTTTTGGAATTTTTACTTCTGATTCAAGTGTTGAAACGTAAGAAAGATATTTTTAAAATCTCTTTAATGATGTATATCAATATATTTTATACTGGAAAAACTATCATGACCTAATTTCACTAATAAAACAAGATTCTAAAGAAGTTATATAAATCAGTCTACAGTGTCTGTCGGTTAAGCTATTCCTCTGAATCACAACGTGTTTTTTTATACTTCTGTTCCAATTTCCTTGATCTGCTACAGTAAATGTTATCTCCTTGGTTTGGTTTCTCTGAATGCGTAATCAAATGTTTGTTCTATCATTCAACGAAAACGGTAACCACAAGGGACAGTCTAAATTTGTAGAGGGGGGGGGGGGAGGATATGCATATTGGATAAATTGGGTTAGACGTTTTTAATCGTTTGTTCAGAATAGATTTTTTAATTCAAAGAGATTTTTTACATTCACAATATTTTCTTTTTTTGACGACGCTTAAATTATCAATTGAAGGAAAAATATGTCTATGTTGATATTTAAAAACACATCTCAGATCTGGGACTAGAGATGGAATTTAAAGAATTTGAGCCGTGGTTTAAATCTGCCAAAACCCGGTTTAAATTAAGCGCCGGCTTAAATCTTGAAACATTTGATACAATTTTAAGTGGAACCAACCATATTTACCAATGTCTACTGAACTACTTCCCGCTATTCATTAAATCTCGCCCCTGATTTCTTTTTCAAGAAATATTTCTATTGTATAAATATTGTATACAGATTTGTATACATAAACTGAGTAATAATATATACATAAGATTTAAAATCCGGTGATTGTGATGGACCAAGATACATAAAATACATAGATTTCATTGTTTAACCTGCACTATTTATTTTCAGAGTATACGTAGAGCAACATTGTCAAGAAAAATACATATATAAATACAACGAAAGGTATGTTAATATAAGGATTTATAATGTCTTTAAAACAATAAGAATTAAAAGTTAAAATCTTAAATAAAGAGTTCCTGATAAATGAAAGGGAGATTAACAATTATTGATAAATCTTGAATAGAATAGAATGATATTACAGGGCAGGGGTGCAGGCAGTTAAGAAACCGAAATAAAAATTTGAAGATTAATTTTTGATTTCTATTATTATATAAAATTCTTTTGCAGAAACATCGGACAGAAATTAAATGAGTACTTATCTTGGTTCTTCCGTAATAGACTAAATGAATGAATATTTTATTAGTTGATTTTATTCTAGCCACTTTGGGTATGATGATGCATCAAGGAGGATGAGTGTGGATGGAATACATCGAAATTTATCCGAGTACTGCTTGCACCAGGAGGTGGGTTCAAGAATTAAAAGCTCAAGAATCATTCATGATCATTTTTCTATTCACAGATGGAAAACTTGTAATGGTTTTACTTTTCTAAATAAATTATTCACTATCCTATGTACTAAAGTTTGTACTAAAGTTTGTACTAAAGTTTGTACTAAAGTTTGTACTAAAGTTTGTACTAAAGTTTGTACTAAAGTTTGTACTAAAGTTTCTAAAGTTTGTACTAAAGTTTGTACTAAAGTTTGTACTAAACGACAATTTTTTTAGGAGGACGAGAAAGGAGTCTCTCTTCATCTTTGTCTTCTCGAGTTCTATAACAATAGAAAAATTTTCAAAATTGTCCTTTCCTTAATCAGTTTCTTTTCCTTAGCAATCCTCATCATCATTCATATTTTAGTCAGGTAATTTGAGTTTTATGATCACGTAAAAACATGGAATTACATGCTTTTTCCAGTCCCAGTAAAATAGTAGGAATATAATAATCATTAGGGTACAGTAAAAATCAAAATATGTTTAAAAAGGTTTCTTCTTAAAACATCTCTCTTGTAAAATTTAATCCTAAAATCATATTTAAAAAAATATATTTAAGACTGGAAAACGGTCCAAAAAACGATTGATGAGTTTTCTTGATCAACCTCTTTTAAACTATTTAAAACGGTTTTCTAATCTGAGAATCGCATGACACAAAAAATACTTTTTGTCCATGTAGTAAACCTTTTCAAATATTTTAGAAAAAAATTCTACGACAGAAAACTTCTGATCGATAACCGAACTTTATTAAGTACTAGCTTGTAAATCCAGCGATGCCAAAATTACTAAAAGTTACTCCCGCCGTTTATCCGCACATAAACTATTTTACCGAGAAACTAAATTTTCGCCATTAAAGTCGTGACTTACCTAACTTATAATCTCAAAACTAAACTAAGAACATTCCCGTGGGTCTTCCTAGTTTTCCAATCATAATTTGAGGCAAATCGGTTAAGTGGTTCCCAAGTTATGATCAGACAAACAAACAGTGATTACAACTTTATATATTTAGATGCATGTTTCATACCATTTTTGTATTACCAATCTTCACGTCAATACAGGAATTATGGTGCTTTCATACTCATAATTCATGTTTTAGAGAGTTTAGAGAGCAACCAGGTCCGAGGATAAAATGTGGAGTTTTCTGGAATCTAATGATATTGTATCTAGTTATAGCTATATCTAATCTCAAGGTTTGTATCTAATTCTACCTATATCTAATCTCAAGGTTTGTATCTAGTTCTACTTATATCTAATCTCAAGGTTTGTATCTAGTTCTAGCTATATCTAATCTCAAGGTAGTTCTACCTATATCTAATCTCAAGGTTTGTATCTAGCTCTACCTATATCTAATCTCAAGGTTTGTATCTAGTTCTACCTATATCTAATCTCAAGGGTTGTATCTAGTTCTAGCAATATCTAATCTCAAGGTTTGTATCTAGTTCTAGCTATATCTAATCTCTAGGTTTGTATCTAGTTCTAGCAATATCTAATCTCAAGGTTTGTATCTATTTCTAGCTATATCTAATCTCAAGGTTTGTATCTAGTTCTACCTATATCTAATCTCAAGGTTTGTTTCTAGTTCTAGCTATATGTAATCTCAAGGTTTGTTTCTAGTTCTACCTAAATCTAATATCAAGGTTTGTATCTAGTTCTAGCTATATGTAATCTCAAGGTTTGTATATAGTTCTAGCTATATCTAATCTCAAGGTTTGTGTCTAGTTCTACCTATATGTAATCTCAAGGTTTGTATCTATTTCTACCTAGATCTAATCTCAAGGTTTGTATCTAATTCTACCTTTATCTAATTTCAAGGTTTGTATCTAATTCTACCTATATCTAATTTCAAGTTTTGTATCCATCTACTTTTAGTTGTATCAATAAATCGCAAGGTATGAATCTATATGATGGTTTATTTTATTATTCACTCTCAAAACATATAAGCGATTGTTTAAACAAAACAATCATGGATGATATTTTTATGACATAAATCTACAAATAAAAAATCAGTACAACAGAAAAAATTAAGCAACAACACATACACAGAATTGGAGTTGTCAGTATGTTGTATTGCTACTCAACATGTGCCTCTCTTATACTCTTGAGAATCCCAGAGATGACCTTGTAAATTTGATAGTACCAATAGACCAGAACATCTATTAAGCTCATGATCAAACTGAATATGAGGTATGAAGCTACCGATGCACTTGTGAAGATTATATCCGCCAACCAAACAAATCCAATAAAAGCGCTTAATCCAATGGAGTAGGTTAGTAGGCCTGCTAGAACTCCAGCGAGCATCAGACTAAGAAAGCTGGGTCGACATACTCCGTATACTGCAGTCTCATAGGGTAGATCTATACATTCACATTCAGAAAGATATGATATACATGTATCATTGTCATAGCAGATTCCTCCCCATATGGGATCCAGATATTTTCCAGTCTCAGTTCTTGGTTTCTCCTCAACTGCACATTCATCGTCGACTCCAAAGCCTTCCGGAATGAAGAGCAACAGAGTTAATAAGTAAAGATTGTCTGTTATCATCTTTCTTGTTCACTTTATGCTGATTGTTATATTACTGCCTCCAAATATCAACACCCCTCTTCTTGTAAACTTTATCAGTCTCCTGGAACTGCGTCTGTAATAATGACCGGAACTATTACGCAGGTCGTGGTAAACGACGCAGATAGATAGGCTTATTGAGACTAGATTCTAATTGAACGCAGTTCATTTTTATGAAAATTAACTGGTTACATATTCTCAGAAGTCAAATTGTCTCACTATACAATCAATTATTCCGGAACACAGTGTAAACTGTCCCCAGCAACAGCAGATAGCTAAACAGCTAGACAGCAGCAGTATTAACAAGACTAGGAGAAGCCAACTGCTAAGATTGGGTTCACACCACCCTATGGAGGATAAAGAAAGATTTCGTTCACAATGAGAGATATTCTTCAGGCAATCTTGGTCATCTAAACATTCTCCGTTCCATATCCGCTTCAACAATGTATGATTTAAAATCTGGTTTGTTAACTTTTCCTCAAATTCAGCACATTTTGGACAAATTAGGATTGATCCAGCGCCAATAGTTTTCAGTAAGAAAACTGCAGTTAGGATTGCAGATATCGCCCTCATGATTCATAAAAAATACATTGGCAGTTCTAATTTTCCTGTGCGCTCATCTTACTCTTGGACGGTAGCGCAGGGGCAGAGTCAGCTGATCAACTAAAAGGGGGTAAAGGGCGGATATTGGAATTCAGGTAATGACATGGCACGGGGGGATGAGAGGATTAAGATTTNACCTCATATGACTTATTTGACATTTGAAATGACGTAGAATTTTCTGCATTGTACATTTTATCTAACGAAACTCCTGATGGAGATTTTAACAAACTTTTCTACAGGGTTACCCACAAAGAAAGAGACTTCAGAGACTATTGTACGAAATTTGTTCAGTCTTTGTTCTTACATTCTTGGTTTCATGCAGGTGTAAACTTGTTTCTTATTTTTGCCAAATTATCAAGTAAAACTTTAAGCACTAAAATTAAGGCCAAAATTTAACATTTTAACGACTCAAGGACGTATACAGGGGGGGATAAGGGGGACAGTGCCCCCCATAGAACTCAGAGCAATCACACTTTTAAAATCTGAAACTGAAGAGTAAAGAACATAAAAAAATAGTTCTCTGTTTTTTTCTGCTAGTTTTATTTGAAGGAGAGATAAAATGATACTTTATTTATACCTTTAAAGTATCCAAGAAGCCAAATGTTTTGTATTTACAGTTCAAATTTTGCCCCCCCCCTAGGAGCTCCTCCTAGGGGGGGGGGCAACACAAATTTTTTGCGCTTCGGGCAAATTTGGCCCCTACTACATTTCTTTCTGTCTACACCCTTGTTTAACGTAAAATTTCCCTCATGAAATTCTCATAATTTGCGGGTTACCCTGTATAACCGGAAACAGAAAATACCCGAACAAAAATCACGAATACTAAAATACAAAGAAAATTTATACATATACACTACAAAAAGTGTAATTTTAGTGTTGCTTCTTCCAAAAAAAACCTTTCATGAAATTTTTATTATTGGTATTTTGCAATATTTTAGAATGTTGTTTTCATTTTTTAAACTTACATGGTACCACAAAAAACTCACGAAACTTTTTTCCCGTTAAAATTGAAACTAAAAAAAGTGTAATGATAGATGATTTCTATCCAATCCTAAAATATGATTGAGATCATTCAGACCAATTGATAGATATGTTCATAAAAGATCCCCAAAATTATAATGAAACAGATCCGATGTATTGTTCAGTTTATTTTCTACACATTTGATTTTGAAAAAAAAGTTTCGTGGATTTTTGACTCACAAATCACACTTTTTATTTTACTGTACGTAGCCAATATTTTGGTCCAAGCTAGGATTCTCAGGAGAGTATAATCAATAGAAACTTATAAATCATTTGGCATGCATGTATAATGTAAAAATATAATCAATAATTACTTTTTGATTTATTCAGAGTCTTTAAAAATTATTTCTATGTTTAATTTATAATATATATATATCGAATTTTTTTCAGGATTTCAGTGAGGATAAAGCTAGCTGTTTAACTATAGGCCTTGCTATTCAGTTTTTTGGGTAAATCTTAAATATTTACACCTCTAACATTTTTGTGATATTTAAATAATATTTTTCTTTATCATATTTCAGCGTTAAAAAAGGAGACATTAAATTAATTGTTTTAAGTTTAAAGTTTGATATAATAATTCCCTGAATTAAGAAGATTTTTTTAACTAACCGGTTTCAGAACACTAGAAATCGGATTATTTTGCATCAAAAATTTAGGATAGGATTTTAATTTGAATTCTTGAAGCGCTAGACTCCTTTGCCAGAGTATATTAAGTTTTATTTTTTATACAAGGTCTGAATTATAAATTACTTAAACTTTATTAGAAAGATGATATGCATATCAAAGTTTCCAAATCACTTTGTTATTGTTTGAACGAGATTTCTGCAGCGATTTTTTTTTTGTTTAGGCTTTCTATGTTCTGCTGGATGACTTGTATAAGCTTTGATCTTTGGAACAGACTTAGGTAAATTTCATAATACAGAATTTATTTAGATTTACTAACAATTCATATTAGTGTTGCTAAATCAGCTTACAAGATCTTCAATTTAGGTTTTCTATTTACATCTATGTAAAGCTGCGATGTATGTTTGTATGTCAAATGTCCGAGTTCGAAGTGCGCTCTCAAAGTGTTCCCTTTTATTAGTGCATATTCATTTCTTTTTAAATATTTGACATTAGTGCCTCCGAGAAGTCCATGCGGCATATGTTTTTACTCTCTTGCCACAAAGAATGATAATAGATTTTGCTACCTTCTGATAGTATCAACAGACTGAATTTTAGGAAAAGCTTTTTAATATGCGGCCCCTGAATCATTAATACAAAAAACTTTATATTTTCAGATATCTACGCAGAATAGATGAATCTACCCCTACAAATGTTCAGTGGTATTTTCTCTTTTCAGGGAACTATTCAAACAACTCTAATTTTTGATTGTTTACAAAATGGTTTTCCGCCATTTAAAAAAAAAACAATTTACTGTTCATAAGATATTTTAGGAGAAACTATTTTAAAACGTAGAAAAAAATACTAAACTATTCTAGACTTTGAAATTAGAATTTTAAGTTCATATTGAAAGCTTTGAGATGTTCTTAACTTTGAAGCTCATTTTCTGAAAAAAAAATTATTTTGAAAGAAAATAGAATCAACTCATGGTGATTAATTTGTAGTCCTAATTATTGTTAAAGATATATTTTTAGGTATTTGATATTATCTATCTATATATTTAGTCTGTGGAGTGAGGATATTATGCAAATTATTAAAAAATAAGCAATCTATTCTTTTAATTCGAAAAGATTCCATCAGATTAATATCTGAACAAGAAAAAAATTAGCGTTTGCCATAAACTCAAATTTTCCAATCCCTATTTCTGTAATATTTCAAACTATGATTTCTGTTAGATTAAATAATCAAAGTTTAAAATATCAAAGGTTTGTATTATCAGGTTGCAAAGATAAAGGTATTAGAAAATTTCAGTTTGTGGGAAAAACTCAGATTCTTTGTTTGAATTTCGCCCTAATAGTTGGGTTCCCATTTCTTATGTTTGTTCTCACTCTTACAATTCAACTCAGAACATCGAGGACGACAAGTTCAGAAACCCACCCTCCTCCTCCCAGGTTAATTTTTTTTCTACTTAAATTCTTTCTTTGTTCGTATCTGGATTATGTTCTAAGTATCTGGATTATGTTCTACGTATCCGAGAACTATTCTGTGTTTAGTTTTGAATTCTTTTATTTGGTACTGAAAAAGTTTTATGTTTTTTTTCTGTGGTTCATTCTGCGTCTACTTAATAAAGAAACTGAGTTTTTGCCACAAACTCAAATTGTCTAATCCCTATATCTTTACAATCTGATGATAGTTTGAAATATCAAAGGTCTACGACATTGGCTAGCAAGGATATAGAGATTAGAAAAGTAGAGTTTGTGACAAAAACTCAGTTCCTTTCTTATGTCTAGTCCAGTGAGTCTAGTAGACAACTCAATCAAGGGTTTGTTAATTCAGAATAAGTGGAATACTTGCAGATGATGTTTTAAACGAAGCTATTTCTCTTCCTCATTACATTCATCCAGGGTAAACAATCATATTTTCAAAACTATTAATTTACTAATAGAAAAATATATTAGATTTTGATTTATTTATATCTTTTTATTTGTTTAGTATCGGGGAGGAATCTTGTTTTCTTCAAAACTACCTTCCTATGCTTCTATACTTTCATCTTCCTGTTCTAATAATGCTTCTGATTAATCTCTTCATGTTTATTTCCCTTGCACATGGATTCTTCTGTGGAGTCTGGAGACCAAGATCACAAGAATTCAGGTTACTGTCACAGTTGAGAAAATATAAACTGTTTATCACGAAGTTATAGAAAAGAATAATTTGAATTCAAAATCTTTGTGCATCTTTTGGATAAACTATTCTATAGAGTAAATACAAAGTGTTGTACAGACATTGTTTAGCTGTTTTATGTATAACAATAATTTTGCTTTAAAATCTTTCACAAACTTTTTGATGTTTCAAACTGTAAATTCTGTAAGATTAAATATTCAAAGTTCAAAATATCAAGTTTTAAAGAAGCGGTATTAGAAAATTAGAGTTTGTGGCAAGTGATCAATTCCTTAGTGCAAATATTTTCAGCAGATGATTTTTACATAGATTTTTTCATGTTTCTTTAAAATTCAGGAGTAAGGATTACAAACAGAAAATAGACGTATTGTCAAAAATGTTCTTGTTTATGGGAATCAACTGGATAGCTGAGGTAAAACTTATTAAATTAATTTTTAAAGCGAAATATGTTGTTTTAATTTATACGCACAGTTGGAAAACAAATCAAGAAAATAAATAAACGCAATATTTTCAGATCGTTCTTTTTATATTAAGCTGGACCAACGTGGCGAAAGATGTCATCTGGTTAACATACATTCTAGGTATAACATGGAAAATGTTATTGAGAATTTCTTGAGAGTGTCCTCAACGTTCCGACACTGTACAGAATATATATTATATAAAAAATGTCTGAAATATGGCCTCTATTATATAAAAATGTCTGATATGTGGCCTCTATTATATAAAAAATGCCTTATATATGGCCTCTATCTATATATAAATTTGGCATGTCTGTCTGTCTGTCTGTTTGTCTGTTTGTTTGTTTGTATCCAATAAACGTCAAAACGGCTGAACCGATCGGGCCCAAATTTTGTGTGGGACCTCACGTGACCCCAGGGAAGGTTTATGAATGATCAAAATTAAAAAAATTTGTGCTTAAAAGTTTTTTTATTTTAGTAAAATGTTGAAAATGTGCGAAAATATATTACGAAATCCGCAATTTTGTTTTGTTTTTGTTTTATACTGTACAAAGAGAAGATGCTCACAGATAAAGCTGCAATTAAAAGCCTAGTATATAAAAAATGCCTTATATGTAGCCTCTATCATCTAAAAAAATGTCTGATATGTGGCCTCTATTATAAAATGCCTTATATGTAGTCTCTATTATATAAAAATAAAATGTCTAATATGTGGCCTGTATTATATAAAAAATGTCTGATATGTGGCATCTATTATATATAAAAAATGTCTGATATGTGCCCTCTATTATATAAAAAATGTCTGATATGTGCCCAGTATTATATTAAAAATGTCTGATATGTGGTCTCTATTTTATACAAAAATGTCAGATATATGGCATCTTTTTTTATAAAAAATGTCTGATATGTGGCCTCTATTATAAAAAAATGTCTGTAGTGTCAAATTCTGGTTTGTTTATGTTTCATCGCCTTATATGCTGACAATTTCTTTTTTAGTGAAAAGGAATTGAGTCTTTGCCACAAACTTTTTCTAAACCCTATATCTTTGGATTCCAATGTCGTAGACCTTAGATATTTCAAACTATGAATTCATTTAGATCAAATAATAAAAGTTTTAGATATCAAAGATTTACAACATTGGGTTCCAGATATATAGGGATTATAAATTCAGAGTTTGTGGCAAAGACTCAATTCCTTTGCAATACAAAAGATAAGTCAACTTCTTTAAATTATACTCTTTAGCTACTCCAACTGATTTTATAAAAATTGTCTGTTTTTGTTTAGATACATTTAACTTAATAACTGGGGCTCTATTTCTCGTACATTTTCTACAAGTTCTTCCCAACAGGTGACAATATATATTTTTCTTTAAATTTTTTTATGATCATCTTACTTTTATTTTCTAATCATGTTTCGACCTGCTTGCAACCTTTGACATTTCAAACTATGAATTCTGCTAGATCAAATAGTTAAGGTTTTAAATATCAAAGGTATGGATCATCGCAGCAAGTGTTAATTTCAATTTAGAAAACAGTCTATCCAACTGATTGTCAAGATAGTCTATGGACACTTTGTTTTTTCGACGATTTGTAGATTTATTTTTAACCCTGTGTATTTAGAGAATTGTTAAAGAAGGCTCTAGTAGAGTTGAAGGTTTTTAGAGGAAATGGTTTGTTAGTTCAGACTAGACAGAGGAGAGTGTCAAGGTAACTTTAATAGATAATTGTTACAAACTAACTTTATTTGACCCTTTAAATAAAGAATACCATGGTAGATAAACGAACCATTAAAAAAGAAAGAATCTGGGTTCTCTTTCAATTCGGCCATTTGCATGCTCGATCGTATTTACCGAAAAAAGTGTTTTAAAATTATTTTTTTATTAGTCTTTAATAGTGATTAGTATACGCTACTTTATACTTAGTACTTACAAAGTACATAAAAGAATCTTTTTTGATTAGCTTATGTATTAGGCTCTTAGTCTTGTGCGGGCTAATATTCGACTGCGAGATCGAAGAAAGAATTTTAAAGAATATATTTAAATATCATGTCCAAAATATTTTTTTAGTTTATCTTCTCTTTTTTATTTATATCCCTAAAGATAAAACCCTGTATATTACAGGGTGAGTAAAAAAAAAGTGTGATTAGCGGCGTCTGATGCAAAATTGTACCTTTTTTGTGCAACTTTCCTGTTAGGTATTTTTTCAATGTTTTATGGAAATTTTTGTCTCAAAATCAAAAGTTCAGTAAAGCAGAAAAGTGTGTATATATTATTTCGTTCTGGTCTCATTTTTAAGGAAAAGTTATTTAAATTCTCTAGCTCCTTTCTTCTCAGTATATTCTAAAGTTCTAAATGTACGAAGTTCAGTCGAAAAATAAATCAATATTTATAAAATTTTAGAATTAAATAGAAATAATGTATATCAACATTTTTGCTTTTCTGAACTTTTGATTTTGAGAGAGAGAAAAGTTTCGCGGATTTTGTTTTCGGCCAAAAAAAATTCCAAAAAATATTGAAAAATACCATTCAGGAGAGTTGCACAAAAAAGTACAAATTTGCACCAAACTCCGCTAACCACACTTTTTTGACTCACTCATTTATTCCATTCAAAATTTTTTTTACTATAGTTGTATTTCTTTGATTAGACCTGCAACCCAGATGTCAGAACTAGAGCAGGAATCTGGATCGATATAAACATTTCAAATTTTTTAAATACAGCAGGCATATTTGATGAATTTAATGTAAAAATATGATTATTAAGCTCTTAAAGGAAGGATTTTTCTAATCTGGAAATTTTTATTTATTTATTTTGCCTTTGGTAATAAAGTACTTTTTGACATGTTGGTACCCGTTTAAAAGTAAAAAATGAATTGTTACGGCACAATTTGTCTAATTTAGAACAATTCATGCAGTAGACAGTGAATTCTTTTTAAATATAAACCAAACAAATTCGTGAATTTTTTTCCGGGTTTTCATCATGTCGTAGAAGAAGAAAAACCTGTGGCCGAATTTAAAGAATTTGAGCGGCGGTTTAAATTTAAACCGCGGCTTAAATACGCTTGGTTCCACTTAAAATTGTATCAAATGTTTCAAGATTTAAGCCGGCGCTTAATTTAAACCGGGTTTTGGAAGATTTAAACCGCGGCTCAAATTCTTTAAATTCCATCTCTGATTTATTTTTTAAACCTTAAATTTAAAATGATTCAACCCTTCCTACTTTGCAATTTTACTCTTTGAGAGAAATTGTGACCATTATGTAATTTTATGTGATCTCTCATTACTAAAAAGATATTGGTTTCCAATGATAAACTACTTTACGAGCAGAAATGAAGAATTTAAATAAGTCCATAAAACAATTAACGGAGATGCTGATTTTTTAATTAAAAAAAATACCAATAATATTTCTTAAAGAAGTTAGTCATTGGAATAATCTTTGATTTGGATGATTTGATAAAACGGTAATTGAACACGTTTTGTCTCTTAGATTTGTAAGAATATCCAGCATGTATGACCTGGTTTAGTTATTATATATTGGTTTTGTTAACGTGATAACATACATTGTATTAACAAAATGAAACCTGGAGACCTTTAATTCCTTTTAAATTTTACACATTGTGTATATTATTATTTTGTTTTTATAAGAAGGAGTGATTTGCAGAATATTTAATCCCTGGCAAATATGTACTCTATTCAGTGCCTGATAATTGATTTTTGGGTGATTTTATTGAAAGGAATTGAGTTTTTGTAACAAGCTCAGATTTTCTAATTTCAATATCGTTGCAACCCAATGTCGTAACATTTCAAACTATGAATGCTATTAGATCAAATAATGTAAGTTTGAAATATCAAAGGTTTACATCATAAGGTTATAGTGATATAGGTGTTACAAAAGCTGAATTTGTGGCAAAGACTCAATTCCTTTATTGAAACCCACAGTACAAATATTCTGATGTAAAAACATTACAAATGCATTTAAGAAAGTGTAAACACATGTATGTAATATGTATACTGTATAGCAATATACATTCTAAAATCTTTTTTATATTGTAATCCTTGTTTTTTAATATAAATAATATAACCATACTAGAATTGAAATAAAATTGATTTACTCATATTTGAATCATGGTGTAAAAAATGTAGATAATAATTATTATTTACAGTGTTGAAAAATTTTAAACTTAAGTTGGCCAAAGGAAATAGTTAAAAATCAATTTAATTCCAAACAAATCTTTAAGATATTACAAACAGTAGTTATCGATTATTTTTCGACGCATTCGTATATATAGTTAATATTTCATAATATTTTTGATTTTTTTTTTAAATAATTTTCGCTGGCGCTGGATTTTCGAACATTTCTGGAAAATATTTAAAAGTCGTCTTCATTATCAAAAATCCACGAAACAGGAATAAATATTTTCAAAAGTAACTATCAGATCATGAAAAATACTAAATATTATGAAATATCAACTATTTACGAATGCGTCGAAAATAATCGATGACTATTGTTTGTAATATCTGAATGATTTGTTTGGAATTAAATTGATTTGTTTACGATCTAAGTTGAATGTTGCATCTTTCTGAATTTGTATGGACACTACGTTATTCGATATGAGTCGTTCTTAACAATTTTCTCCTTATAGACGCAACAGATAAAAGTAAGATTAGTAGCGATCAAAAGCGCTTTTTTATCGCATTTTTCGCGAACATTCCCTTTAAGACGACTTTTAAAGGCAAAATCTAAATAATGGATTATCTACAAAAGCCTATAAATCCTGGGCCACCCACCCAACACATCTAACTGATATAAGTTTCCTGCCCCCCCCCCCCATGGCCATATTCTTTTCTCCCACAAATTTGACGTTCTTACGCTTTATGATAATTAACCAACCATCTTATGGCTAAAGACAGACCACACGCATCCCTCTCACAAATAAACACATGTAAGGTAGACAGTAGACACACAATCTTTGTTTAAAACGTTAACAGATTTTTGTTAATGTATTCAGTAAAAAGAAGGAAATATAAAATATAAACTAAATTTTGAATTATTAAAAACGTGATATTAAAAATGAAGCGGTATATGATATATGTAGACTGTAGAGAGGGGGGGGGGTGAATAGTCTAAAAATCAGAAAATAAAATTAAGATAATTAATCAGGTGCTGGCGCAACGGACACAAAGAAAAGAAAGAAATTGAGTTTTTGCCACAAACTCTGATTTTCTACTTTCAATATCGTTGCAACCCAATGTCGTAGATCTTTAATATTTCAACCTATGAATTCTGTAAGATCAAATAATGTAAGGTTGCAAAGATATAGGTTTTACAAAAACTGAATTTGTGGCAAAGACCCAATTCCTTTGCTTTACATTCACAATACAGATAAATATGACTTCGCTTTCTTCCTTTTTATGATACAAGGCTTTTAAGGAGTTGGTGAAAATTATAGCAGTTAACTGTTGCTTTTTAAACTGACATTTTTCTGTGAAAATGGTATTTCGCAGTTTTTTCTTTTTAAATTCGTTAATTTAAAAAATAGTGACTCAAAAAAATTTTCCGGGCAAAATTTGTCATGTTTACCAACCCATTCCCTGGGGTTTCCCAGCCAATTTGGTCCCGATCAGCTCAGCCTTTTGACGTTTTATACATGGACAAGCAAAGCATATATCTATATATAAATTTGGCTTGTCTGTCTGTTTGTCTTTTTGTTTGTATCTAATAAACGTCAAAACGGCTTAACCGATCGGGTCCAAATTTTTTGTGGGACATCACGTGACCACAGGGAAGGTTTATGAATGATAAAAATTTTAAAAAATGTGTTTTAAAAGTTTTTAATTTTGTAAAAAAAATTAAATTCTTGAAAATCCGCGAATTTTTTTTTAAATCCGCGAAATTTTCTTCTTCTTTGTTTTAAAATGTAAACAAAAAGAACGTGTTCACAATTTAAATAGAAGATGGGCGCGAAGCGCCCTAAAAGCCTATTATATATATATAGATGACCAAATAAAAAATTAAGTTAAATTTTCAATGGTTCAAGATGGATTAAAGTGTCGATTGGTAACTACCTATATAATGCGATGGTAATTTTATAACAAAGAAATTGAGTCTTTGCCACAAACTCTGATGGTCTAATCTTTGCAAAACAATGTCGCTTTATAAACCTTAGATATTCAAATTATAAAATCAAATAAACTAATTTTAAACTATCAAATCTTTACACCTTAGGTTGCAAAGATATAAGAATTAGCAAATTAATAACCAAAAATGCATATTTATCCATCAATCAAATAATTTTTTTCTCTATTCTTTCATGCAGCGACTTAAATCTTTGCCCTTTGTGTTCCATATGTTAGTGTATATATCCATTCATCAATCTATCTATTCATCAATTTGTCTATAATTTCCTCACAACTCCAAAGATTAATTTATATCTGTCTGAATGGTCAATCAATTCTTCTCATTCATCCCCCAGCCTTCCTACCACGTAAACAATCCTCTCTTTTCTTAGTTCTTTCTCTCCACGTCCAACTAACCCATGTGCAGCTTGATCAAAAAGCCAATTATGTCCAGAAACATTCGTAAACTTATGCGTGGATTTTATTCACGTCTGCTTTTACACCCTCCACCATAGCAAATGATTCCCTATTAGGTTAGCATTATTCGTTAACAAACTACTGAAATTAAAATCCACGTGACCCACACTAGAATGTAAAATCGGCCAATATAAACAGTGCAGATTTCTAACTAATAAATTTAAACTGCACACTGTAAAATGCACTTTGTTAGACCAGAAATGAAAGTACGGCAGGAATTGAGTGGTAAAGAGGGTTTGATTTTCAACTCCAATAGAACCTTGGTCAGAAAATAATGATTTAAATTTGAAAAAGGGGACCAGAGAATGAAATAAGGGTAGGAAATAGAAGTTATACTTTGCACTAGTGGCGGCGGGAGATGTGATTTTCTCTAAGAAGGTGGTTATTGAAAACTGAAAATTATGCTAAGATTAGATTTTTAGTCAACTTTATGTAGATAACTATAAAGATTTCCATTTTGATCTATTTTGTTATTCGGCTATTTCGGTTCACATGACATCAAAATTGAACGTTACATTGAAATCTTTAATATTTTTTTTTAATTTCCAAAGAGCTTTATTTGGTAGTAACCAAATAACGGAATTGAGTCTTTGCAACCAACTCAGATTTTTTAATCTCAATATCTTTGCAACCCAAGTATGAAATATAAAATTTTTACACCATCAGATTGCAAAGATATAGGGATTAAGAAATTTGAGTTTGTGGCAAAAACTCAGTTTCTTTGCGAGTCTCATACTTATGTGTAAAAAAACACTAGAGGAACGAGCTACAAGGTCTCAAAGTTGTACCAGTAACATCTAGTTGGATTAATTTATAACGTTTAAAAAGACCTCAAAGGGTCGAGAATGAGAAAGAAAGATTGGGGTATATTTGCCATGAAAAAAAACGACGTGCACATGAATATAAGAATTGACGAGTACGCCCGCTCATGATTATGTTCTTGCGCACACTTCCAACCATTTGTATTTATACAAGAAACCTTTAATGGGTTTCATATTCGATTCCTGTGGTCTCATCCTCCTCCTCCTCCTAGCCTGATGCAACCCCCCCCCCCTTCTTACTCATCCATTCATCTCGTCTTATTATCCCAAAGATTATACGAATATACAATTATTTATGTCGTATCATTTCCTCATATCTTCTCATATTATCCCCTTCTTATATCATATATTTTCACCTGCTAGATCTTAATGTAAATATCGTTGTTTTATTATTATTTCTCGTCTTAATTTTTCTTGAATACACAAAAACTTACTAGTACTTACTTAGAACTAGAAATGTTTATACTGTATCTATCCTAATACTTAGTTAGAACTAGATATGTTTATACTGTATCTATCCTAGTATTTAGTTAGAACTAGATATGTTTATACTGTATCTATCCTAGTACTTAGTTAGAACTAGATATGTTTATACTGTATCTATCCTAGTACTTAGTTAGAACTAGATATGTTTATACTGTATCTATCCTAGTACTTAGTTAGAACTAGATATGTTTATACTGTATCTATCCTAGTACTTAGTTAGAACTAGATATGTTTATACTGTATCTATCCTAGTACTTAGTTAGAACTAGATATGTTTATACTGTATCTATCCTAGTACTTAGTTAGAACTAGATATGTTTATACTGTATCTATCCTGGTACTTAGTTAGAACTAGATATGTTTATACTGTATCTATCCTGGTACTAAGTTAGAACTTGATTGATGTTAATTAAATTTGCAATGATAATAAGGTCATTTATTCTTGCGCAGTTCAGGACAGACAAAACCACACACGAACAGTTCATCTTGCATTTCTATACTTTAAGATACACAAGTATCCTTTCCTAGATTAGTTATTATATTGGTTAGATTGGATTCGGATATGAGAACAATTTGTAACAAAACTCCGACACTTGACTTCATCCGTCCTATACAAGTATACGCTTTATTATACCGTTAGCATGGTTAGTTCTTTAACTAACTCCGACACTTGAATTCATCCGTCCTATACAAGTATACGCTTTAGTATACCGTTAGCATGGTTAGTTCTTTAACTAACTCCGACACTTGACTTCATCCGTCCTATACAAGTACACGCTTTAGTATACCGTTAGCATGGTTAGTTATTTAGCTAACTCCGACACTTGACTTCATCCGTCCTATACAAGTATACGCTTTAGTATACCGTTAGCATGGTTAGTTCTTTAGCTAACTCCGACACTTGACTTCATCCGTCCTATACAAGTACACACTTTAGTATACCGTTAGCATGGTTAGTTCTTTAAATAACAGCTCTAGAAAAGTATTGGAGGATGGTTTTAGATAAGCCATGAATATGCCCTTGTATAACAGTGTTGGAGAACAATTTCTCGCTTTCTTTTAATTTTTCAATGTAAGATAAGATCTGATTCGAATTTCCTCTACTTTAAAACCCTCGACGCTATTTAAAACCTGCCTTAATGCTCGCAAGATTTTCCGGTATTAGTTCACTTAGCTTTTATACCTCCTCCGCCTCCCCCAGCCCTATTTTACAATTTACAGTCTTTACCATGTAGCACAATGACGTACACAAAATTACTGAGGAGAATGAGAGCAATGGAGAACATGAATAATCAATGAGTAACAAGAGAGCCAAGGATTAAGGGGGGTAAAGGAGTTTAACGATTATGAACGGTTGACAAGGAGTACCAATGACTAAAAATTGGCGTAATCAGGGAGTACATTGGGTGGCAATTAAGTGAAAAGGAACGATAAAAAGGGGAAAAGGGAGTGCAAATTGAGGATATAGAAGTAGGAGAACAGATAGCTACTAAGGGGGCGTACAAGGAGTCTGAAGGAGTACCAAAGAGTACCATTGTTGCTTCCCTCCGCCCTCCTAATACCAATTCAAGGTTATAAATGGCATTTTTAAAGATAAGATGAATTGTTTCTGTAATATATTACAAAATGTAATTGTGTTCATTACAGAATTTAAGGTTAAAACATGGGCTTCAATTTCTCGCCTCGGGGTGTTAACGCCGCATACGCAGACAGCGTACAGAGTACCCGGCTTGTAAACCAATTTCCTGAACTCAACTTTAAACACCGACAAAACATAAACATTAAGAGCTAAAAATATTAAGGAAAAATTTAAGAATTTAATAAAAGCACGAATAACCGGCGATATATCGTTATAAAAACACAATTACTTTTTTTTCAATGCAACATCTTTCGAGTGTAGATATTTACCAGTTTTTCTAAGCGAACTATTAAACTGTGTATTATGTGTAGACAGTAATTTGTAACATTGGGGCACAAAGAAGCTCAGGCTCAATATATGCGGGAATAAAACAACCTGAGTCGGAGTTGGGGGGTTGGTAGATTGGGAGGGGTTAGATAGGGGATGTATTATACTCGGTAGTATATAATTTAAAGCAAGATAAGTTTGATGAACTCCGAGTTTTTCATAAACATTCATGGAACGTTTTCAATTCAAATTGCAGGGGGCACATTTTATACTTGCTGTAGATTTATAATTATAGTTAAATGGTATTAGTAATAGTAATAGTTATTAAAACATAACGGATGAAAAAAAATCTTATTCACAATTACTGACAATATGCTTTTATAAAGTTATTTTTTTTTTCTTAAAGATAAGGTAAGATTTTTCCTATGTCGGACATATTTTCAACCTTTGATATATGCAAGATATCTGCATGTTTCGGTATTTAGCAGAAAAAAATGTTCTATGCCATAAGTAGAGTAAAAACGTCTATTAACCCTCGGCTGTAATTACACTATGCAGGTGCCCGAACTCTAGATCAGTTTACGGGTTTAGTTTAGTCAAGGAAATCATCTCGGGCGGAGCGCTCATAAAGCCTTGCGCGCTCATAAGCGCTCGAAGCTAAACCATAAACCTAACAGTATTGTAAACTAAAATTAGGAAACTTTTAAAGTTTTCAATGGTGGTCACATTTACATGATGAACACATTTAAATTGAGAAGTATCAATATCATAAGAAATGTATGTAATGCAAGATAACGTAGCATTTAAGAAAATAAAAGTGATGTTTGATACAATTTTAAGTGAAACTTCGTTAAAACTATTCTCAAGACTAAATCTAAATATCACCAGTGTAAAATATTTGCGTTCTGTTTAAAGTTGTTTTTGTTTCCCTTTGCTGCAGAAATCCACGAATAATTTTTAGAAATCCATAGCTACAATAGAGTACAGCTCCGGATTTTCTTAAGGCCATCTAAAAATTAATGAGACATTAGATATTACATCTTCCATTCTTTTAAGCCTTACATTGTCATACGTATTTATTTGTATTGCATAGTTTAAGAGCATAGATGAACGTATTGCTTTATTAAAACTATAGATAAATTTGGCTCATCACTAAACTTTGTATTGAAATCAAATTTGATTGGCAAGCTCTTGAATAAACCCAAATGCGCAATGAATCATTGAATATGTATTTTCATGATTAACGACATATTAGTTGATTTATCACTTCTTTGCAGAAAATAATTGGTCAGAGGACTTAAAATGCATGTATTTTAAGGTTTAATATATTGAAGAAACTACAAGTGAATGCTTTGGATGCAAAATCAAATTGGAAAATGAAAAGTACCAAGTAAAACTTCGACAAGGGGAGCCGAAAAAAACCGTAAAACTTACACATCGAGAGATTGAGATTAAGTGCACGGGGTTTGAGTGAAAAAACTAATCATGTCGGATGATAGAATGAGTCCTGTTCATGTTTATCAAGAAATAGTGGATAATAAACCTCATAAAGGTACTTCACAATACTAGACCAGGAATACACTTATAATAGGGAATTCCATGGATACCAGGGATACCATGGATACCAGGGATACCAGAGTTCCAGTAATACTGGAATATCATGAATACCAGGGATAACAGGGCTACCAGGGATACCACGGATACCAGGAATACTAGGGATACCAGGAATACCAGGGATACCGGGGATTGGAGGGATACCATGGATAACAGGGCTACCAGGGATACCATAGATAACAGGGATACAAGGGATACCAGGAATACCAGGGATACCAGGGATATCAGGGAAACCAGGGATACCAGGGATACCAAGGATAACGAGGATACCAGGGATACCAGGGATACCAAGAATACAAGGGATACCAGGGATACCAGGGATACCAGGGATACCAGGGATACCAGGCATACCAGGGGTACCAGGGATACCAGGGATACCAGGGATATCAGGGATACCAGGGATACCAGGGATGTCAGGGATACCAGGGATACCAGGAATACCAGGGATACCAGGGATACCAGGGATACCAAGGATACCAGAGATCCAGGATTACCAGGGTTACCACGGATACCAGAGTTCCAGGATTAACAGGGATATCATGAATACCGGGGATACCAGGATACCAGAGATACCAGGGATACCAGGGATACCAGGGATACCAGGAATACCAAGGATACCAGGGATACCAGAGATACCAGGGATACCAGGGATACCAGGGATACCAGGATATCAGGGATACCAGGGATACCAGGGATATCATGGATACCAGGGATACCAGGAATACCAGGGATACCAGGGATACCAGGGATTCCAGGGACACCAGGGATATCAGGGATACAGGGATACCAGGGATACCAGGGATACCAGGATATCAGGGATACCAGGGATACCAGGGATACCAGGGATATCATGGATACCAGGGATACAAGGGATACAAGGGATACCAGGGATGCCAGAAACTGAGAAACCGAGAAACTTAAATATGAATACAAAAATTCCTTTTTATTTAGTTGCAGTTGTGGAGGCTTTACAAGAGTTTTGGCAAATGAAGGAAAATAAATCTTAGTTTGAACAGTTAATGATAAATATTTTATCTTTTAAAGTTTTTCATTTTGAAAATCAAAATATCACTTCAAAAGATTTATTTTGTGAAAGGCTGGTCGGAAAGACTCTCATCTACGACAGGGTGCACTTCTAATTTATGAAAGTGTTCCCTCCTCTACACCACCTTATGTTTGCTATGTTACGCTACCGGGAGGAGCATGCTTTGGAAGTTTTCAAATTTGCACGACGCGAGCAGACGCAAGGAAAAGTGCTGCTAAAATTGCACTTATGAACTCGGTATGTAAAATATTTTCTTCTTTTTCTAGCAAAAATTGGTACTAATCGATTTCTGTAGGATTCCAGATAATTTACTGGTTTTTGGACACAATTCAATTATCATTTTTAATCTTTATGTAGAAATCCAACTCTTGATGTTTTTTTTTTTGACAAATTGTAAAATAAAAGAATTTATTGATTCCGATTCTTCACATCTAACCGGGATAAAACCATGCTAATCTTCAATTTAAATGAAAAAGCAAATTATCTTCATTCAATACAACGACACATTTAACATTTGACAAGGTATTTAACGAACACCCCTCGAGGATAATCAGCTTAGAGATGATAGCTAGGCTAGTCGCAGAGGCAGAGGACAGTCTTAAACATCAAGCACAGGTAGACAGAAGATATAGATGCACTTCCGGCTACGTCTATCTTCTTAAAGGGAGTGTTCGCAAATAATTTGAAAAAAGGGGTATAGGCTGATTTTGAATTAAATTCGATAACGATCGCTACTAATTTTACTTTTATAAGGAGAAAACGACTCATACCTTAGAACGTATGACCTGCATACAATTTCACAGAGGTGCACCAATATTTTTTAATCTAAAATTAATCATTTAGATATTACAACCTGTAAATGTCTGCTTCTATTCGATGAATTCGTATAAAGTTTATTTTTCATAATATCATTTTTTTATATGCGATATACTATGCGCGACGATCTTTTGGTCGCTAGGTGTCTTTCCCAAGCGTGAACCATGAAATATTGAGAGAAACAGATAAAAATAAAATCATTAGGGATCGATATAGAATTTAACTCGTTATCAGCCTATAACCCCTTTCATTTTCACGAACACTCCCTTTAAAAACGTAGTTTTTTAAGTATACATTTTTACCGAATTATGTTCTAAGCGAATGAAATATAAATATATGTTAAAGTCTGATGGAGGATTAAAAGAAGGAGGAGTAGATGCTTATAGATACATGCTGGAGCAGAACGTGGGGAAAAGTGTACTAGAGTTTCAGGTCAATTCATATCATACGTTGTACATCGTACAATTTGTATTCAAATGTTCATAAAACCCTTCAAATTTTGCCGAATTGGTGAGTTTGTAAATACATATATATGATTTAACCCTTATCTTAATCACTTTTTTGGACTTAGCTCAAAAAGTGCTGGCCTAGGGCTGTTGAAATCTTTTTTTTTTACCTAAAACACATGGTATATTCTTCATGACGGTATGAGACAAACTCCAACTTCTAGTCCCTATATATTTGTAACCAGATGTTATAGACATGAGATATTTTAAACAATGAATTCTGTAAGATCAAAAAATCTAGGTTCGAAGATTTACATCATCAAGTTGCTAGTCTACTAACGTTGCTAAAACTAGATTTTAGTAAACAGTAATGAACGAGATCTTAGTTAGATTTTTTGCATCGACAGAAAATAAACTAATAATTAGCTAGAAAGTACCAAACACTGATGTCGGTTACAAAACTAATATCAATGATTATGTTTAGGAAGTTATGACTGTATTCCAACTGTTACACTGGAATGGTTCCTTGAAAGCTATGCGGGAACGAGAGTGCAGTAGACAAGAAGTTGTACAGCATTATACTCATAGGTATTCAGTAGACACATTAATATTAATCCAAATCTAGTGGATAATGTTTTTAGAGAATGACACACAGAACTTTACATTCAACTATTTGAAAATCTTTTCAAAACTTCACCCGATTTAAATATGACATTTTTTTTTTCTGAAAATTTTCGAAAAATTATTAATTAAACTCTGATTGAGCCGCTCAAAATGTCTATCCAAAACTTTGAGCCGATAAAATGTCTAAACAAAACTGCATTTGTAATATACTCTCAGTGATTTTAACTAACCCTAGCAAACTAGTTAAAAACTAGACGTTAAGATGTATGTGCAAAGTGCATAGTGCATATAAGCTGTCAAAGAACGCCTACACACCCTAAATTTAGGTTTCTTGTCTAACACACCTAATACTAGTATTGATTTCTTTTGCAGTTTTAATTGGACTTAAAAATTCTTAATATAATTATCATTTGAACCCTCAAAAGAAAGGAGAAAAGCTTTTAGATGAGTTTTAATAGCTCAATGCTTAGGGTTGGGCCCAGTTCATTTCTCGAAATATAAAGTAGTAGTATTTTTCTCTAAAAGACTATATCATTAAAACTTAATTTTTTTTACAAAATACAATTTTCTTTCTAAAATTTTAAAAATGGATTTAATTAAAGGAGGCTGGATGATGATATGAGAGCAGCTATGGCAATTGATTGGATTGCTAGAGAGAAAGAAAGACCAGGTTAATAATTCAACTATCTGAAAGGCGCAAATATGGCTCAGCTACATTTTGCCTAGTCACAATTTGCATAGTCACATTTTGCCTAGTCACATTTTGCCTAGTCACATTTTGCCTAATTACAACTTGCCTAGTCACATTTTGCCTAGGTAACAGTTTGCCTAGGTAACATTTTGCCTGATAACATTTTTCTAGGGTAACATTTTGCCTAGAGTAACAAACGAGCGAATTTTTCGCCATGTCAATAATTTTTTCACAAAGAAATTTTCAACAATCCGATAATTTTTTTTAATAATTCAATTTTCTATAAACCAATCAGATCGAGAGACACAGTGAAAATGGCTCCCATGATAACTGCAGGGCTTACCATGTGGGGTAAGCCCAACTACAGGGATAAGAATAAACATGGCCTTACCAACAAGCTGCTGAAAATTAAAGCCACAGAAAAGATTGAGAAATAAGATAAATAATGATAAATAAAGATATAACCTGTACAAGATACAATTCAATTGTCCTATAACATTTAATTAATTAAAATTGAACTGGTTAAGCTTAAAAAAAATGTTTAATTTTTGACAAAATTTGTTATAAAAAAAGCAATAGGCAAAAAACATGCTCTTGCGTTACCTAGGCAAAATGTTACTAGGCAAAAAGTTACCTAAGCAAAATGTTACCTAGGCAAAAGTGAACTAGGCAAGTTGTGACTAGGCAAAATGTGACCAGGCAAAATGTAGCTGAGCCGCAAATATAGGTTATACATGCGATATGCAGGGTGGTTTACGTTTAGTTTTTTCTTCATATCTGTATATTTGTAAAAAAAATCACATCATAATTTCCTTACCTTACTCCAAGGTTAGTTATAAAAACAGTATTGACAACATAAAGGTAGTCTATAGTTGTATTAGATTGCGTTTAATCCAGAAGAAATTTTAAATCTAATCTAGCGTAAATTACCTAGTATTGCCTAGTATTGTCTATAGTTGTATTAGATTGCGTTTAATCCACAAGAAATATTAAATCTAATCTAGCGTACATTGCCTAGTATTGTGCAATATCTTCAGATATTACACAATTCATAAAAGTATATTAAAATATTAGCTTGGAATCCAGCTTTGTTTAGAGTTTTCCCTATTTAAGTTAAACTACTTAACTTAGAACTTTATTTAAAATTCGGTGATGGTGATGGACAAAACCTCTGTAGAGAAAAAGAAGTAGATGGTAGTTACACAAGATAAGAACATTTCCGTGGTTCTACCAATTTCCCCAATTAAATTTGAGGTTCATAAGTTATGATCGGACATCTGAACAAACAAACAGACAAACATAGATTGCTAATTTATAAGTAAAGATGATTTACTGTTAAATGAATTTGTTTTTCTATAATTCTTCAACGAAAATTAGGTTTCCTAACAATATGAAAAAGACACAAAGAAGACAAAAAATCCCCCAGTCGTTCATTATGTATACATCTACGCGTGCACCTACATATTCATACATCTTCGGATTATGGTGATTATCACCCCNTTTATGGTGAACAAAACAAGTCCAGGTAGGAGCCCCAGATGGGAGGCAAAAAATTTAAAAAACGTATCAATATTTTTTTTTAAAAAGGCGTTTTTAGCAAAAACCCTCGTACGCCCCTGACTATAACCAACATTTTATTAAACATGACGAGGGCAGCAATTCCGAATTTAAACTTTATAAAAACCAAAATTATAATAGGAGTTCTTTTTATATTAAATCTCTTAACCGTTTTCAAGACAATGTCAGGTTTTCCATTTTCGAACATATCCTGAATTTGAAACATTGTCGCGTTTTCGAGACAAAACCAACTTTCCTGTTTTTGAGTATAATCCGCAATTGAAAACAAAACTCACTTTCATAACTTACAAAATAAATCACTGAAAACAAAAATTATCTTATGAAGACTAAATTAACTTATGAATTTTTTCTAGAATCTAAGTTTCCACATTTTATCTGTTAAATTAGAGAATATCGATAATTTATTTTCAAGCCTTTTAAACAAACCGTTTTCCGCATTTCTAGTTAAATCTACATTGTAAGAAAAAATGATATTGATATTTTGATTTCTCAATGCTGTAATGAATTTTAAATTATAAAAGAACAGTTTGTTTTTATTTCCTATTTTGTTTATATTTTACCTTATTAAAAAATCTTATTTTGTTACGTAAGAGCGTAAATGCTTAAAAATTGGCATTGATATGAATTCAAGTAATTGTCTCAAAACCAGGATATGTTCCGAAAACGCGACATGAGCTGAAATCCGGTAATTGTCTCAAAATAGGGATGTGTTCGAAAATGAAATCAAGAATCATCAAAAAATAATTCTCGCACCTTATTATAAGTTTTAAGTTTACCTATATTGAATCAATATATAGTTTCTGTCATTTTTTTCAAATATACGGTGTAATTTTGTGTTACTCGTCTTGGATTTTAAGATGTATACTCTTGAAAAAGATAACTGTGCAGATTTGGCCCATTTCTAACACCCAGTGTCAGAAATGTGCTAAGTGTTAGGTTTGGAACTAACATCCCCTGTCTTAACATAAAGTACGCATAGATTAAGGGGTATAGTGACTTCATTTTAACCAAAAGTAAATTTTATTGTTGACTGAGATCTTCCATGTTTACACACATATCTTCTTTTTAGATGATCTACGGATAAGAAAAAAGGCTGTTCAATTACAACCGAACAATTAGACTTTTCTTCTTTTAGACTGAAGAATCAAAATTTAGGAGTTTCGAAACTTTCGTAGGGAGAAAAGTTGCGCTACTAATTCCGCATAAATCGGACCTTGTTCTTCATGTCTGGATTAGCAAGTTTAATTCAATCGAAGGAAGTTATTACTGGAGAGTTGGAAACTAGTTATTAGGTAAAATGATCTCTATAGCCAATAAAATAATTATTTTGTGCAGGCGTAATCCAAGGAGAACTACAGACGGCAGATACAGAGCTTGAGGACCTGAGAAGAGCGGGAAGAGAACTAAGGTTTAGAAGTTTTTTATCACGTGTTAATAATTATTTCATACAGTTATGTGAAAAAAACCACGAATTTAAATCTAGTTCTTTAGTTTAGAATAAAAGATCTAAGAAGAAAGGCAAGGTCCGGGAAACTATATTTACTGAATGGAAAAGAATATGACATCAATAAAAATTTAGTACGTGGTTCAATGGCATCTCTCAATTACGAACTTTAAGTTATAAAATGAATCAAACCACGAAACCTCTTTTCAACAAATGTTTTATACAAAAATAATGTGTTTTTTTTCAGGTTTCCAAAGGAAAAGAAGGATGTATTAAATCTAGCAACATCTCAGATAGAAGAAAGAAAAATGCTCAACTCATCAAAACCCTCGTGAGAGTGGAAACTAATTTCCACAATCTTTGAAAGGAAGTGAATACTTGCCACATAATTTGATTTTTTAATCCCATATCTTTGCAACTCGGTGTAGGAGAGCTTTGATATTTCAAACCATGAATTCTGTTAGTGTCCGAAAATTTAAGTTTGAAATATCAAAAGTTTACACCACCAAGTTTCAAAGATACAGGGAAAAAGAAATTTAAATTTGTAACAGGCAATCAGTTCTTCATATAAAACACATTACAGAAATTGCTCAGATATTTTATAAGGATATCATTAATAATAAATTTTTGAAATAGTATTATTAGAAAATAATATGATAAAAAATATCAGCTTCTTTAGTAAACGAGTTTTACATCATGTTTAAAAATATCATTTTGACTTAAGAATTTACTTCGCGTGTTTGATTTTTTTACACAGTGAAATTAAAAACCCTAACTGCATTGTTTAAAAAAAAACATGAAAATAATGTTGGAAACTACAATAATGGTTGAAATAACAATAATCTAAAAGCATTTAATTCAAAAAATCTAGTATTTCGTAAACAAAAACTCATTGCAATTAGTTTTATTGTTATATTTTGGCTTTTAAAGTCATTGAAACCTTAATGATCGTAACTGACCTTTTGCTTCATTATGTAAAGAATACGTTTAAATCTCTAACCATTTTCCTGCAAACTTTGACAAATCCTACATTTTTTTTCATTTTTAGTGCATCTAACGATAGTGCCATTTTCTTTCTTTTGTGTGTATCGACTGGTTTATTTCATGGATAAGTTTTTTTTATTATTTTTATTAATATTGAAATATAGTTTTTTTCATGTTTAATGCTCAACATTGAATGCTTAATACAAATTTAAAAGGTCTTTTACTTTTGCGATTTGATTTATTTCCATCAAGAAAAGATAATGAATTTTGAATGTTTAAAACAATAATTTATTTCGGCTGTGAATATTGAGGTGAATTAAAAAATATATCTTCGTGATGTTTACATTATTACAATTTATAAATGTTTGCTGAAATCAATATGAAATAAAATCAAATTTTTATCTTATTTAATTTAGAGGAGCAAGTTCTAGTTAAGGAATCATCGAGTTACTTTCAAGACATTCCATATCATAGCTATAGTAAACGAGGGTTAAGGTTACAATGATAAATTTTCATTGAAGTATAACGGATGCAACCAAACCTTCTTAACAATGTAAATTTTCTTTTTAAATCTGAATAAAATTAAGCTTAGTATGGTTAAATAATAGTTTTTTTCTGATTTCAGAAATTTTTTTACCGCTTCCTTGACAATTAGATCGAGGACAAAAGGTCTGAGACCGTTATAAATTTAACCCTGATGATACATACAAAATCTTAAATATAGATAAAAAGATTAAAACATAATACATAAAAAAGAACAAAAAAATGTACATTGGCGTAGAAATATTAAAAGTAAACGAAGCAGAAAGATACGAGCAAGGTTTCTTAAAATACAGAGCTAATAATCACATGCAAGTTAAGGGTTTTGGTTTCAAGTGAGCAAGGCTAAACCTTTTCAACCATTTTAATGTAGATTTACAATTTAGATTACATTTTAATTTTGAAGTTTATGGTAATGTTTATATATGATGACTGAAAGTTAAATCTCGATTGATATGATTATGGTACAGATTTAGTTCTATATTTAGTCTCATGCAGAACCAGAAACCTAAAAACTCTAAAAGAATTATCGTGAGTTCAGAGTGTTTGAGCAGAAATATTTGTCAAGTAAATATATGAACAACAAGCCATTTAAGGCCATTCTATTGCTAAAACTATTAATATCAAGTAGATTTTATCTTAAATTTTGATATTTGCAAAGATTTTGCCAATTATCAGCGGAAATTCCATCCTATAGTTTTTATATGACAGGTCTAGTACAGTGTATAACGTATACACGCAATCTGTAGAATATTACATGAATCCAAGGTAAATTATACATTTCAGGTCTAACATTATATACACAATATTATATAAAGGTCTGAAAGGAGAATTGGATAGAGACGACTTGTTGCTGGCGTTGGTTTAAAAACAGGTTAATGTGGGGGAAGAACAAGAAAGAAGCGTAATTTCCAGTAAGCCTCCATGCAAAGCTAGCAATGCCTGATTCACAACGGTACCCTTTAAAGCTATGTCTTAAAATGGATGAATTCCCATATCTTTACAACCTTAGATATTTCAAACTTGGATTATTTTATGTAACAGAATTCATAGTTTGAAATATCTAAGGTCTACGCCATTAAATTGTTAAGATATATAGGAATTTGAAAACAGAGTTTGTGACAAAGGCTCAATTCCTCTACGCTTACAGTCTCTTTAATTGTTAACGATTGTGAAAACTTTCATAACAGCTATCAAAATATTAAATAATAATTAAAAACATTCTTGACTTTGATTACAAAAATATGTACTTTTTTAAAATTAATTATCATTAAAAGTAAAAATGATCGTAAGCTGATGACGGTTGACGTCGAAAATATCACGCCTAAACTATGATTGAACCAAAATACAGGGTTTCCAAATTAAACATGGGAATCAAGAGACAACTTGAAAATCGTTTTGATCTCCGAAAGTTGATTGATAAAGAAAGTTTAAAAATTGTACATTTTGAACTTTTCAAAATGTTGTCTGCCTTCTTTGGATGTTTAAATTTTACAGAGATGTCTGTATTTAAACATATATGTTATTATTTGATAAATTGGAATAAAGCGACATTTCTCATTTTCTTTAAAAGGCTCAATTCCTTTCTTAAAATCTCCGGCAATTTTGAATAACAAATTGTAAACCCCATTTTGGAATTCCCAAATCCTTGCAATTTTAGATAGTAAATATAACTTTAATACCACCCAAAAAATATAACTGGATCAAATATAACACATTTAGAGTATAACCGACCAAAAATGTAACCATTTTCGACCAAAATTTTAACCAATGCAATTTCGATTATCGATATTTTAGAAATAAAAACATTACCTTTCTTTACAGTTAGAATTCTTCTTGTTTCCATTCCAAAATATGTTTTAATGACCTTGTTACAAAATTAATATAATGACAAAGAAATATGTGGGGTCCCAAATGTCAAGACTTTAAAGAAAACCTAAAACCTAGTAACCAGGAATTTATAAGATGCGGCAGAATAAAGTCTCAGTTTTTGTGACTTTTAAAATACTGCCAGAACATTACGATTTAAAATGTCGTCAGTCGCGGGAAAACATTTGTCAGGACAAGATCTGGTAAAATTCGGATTAATTTTTTTTTGTGATATGAGATTTGTTGCACACATGTACACTTAAGTAGAACAGAGCCCAAAACTTAAGACAGGGTATCGTTATGAAAACCAGCTTTGGAACCCGGGTTTCATGAATGGGGTTATGACAGTTTTGTGTATATCAATATTTTTGTTATCAAATATTATGTTATTTAGTTTCTTCATATTCTCCATTTTTTCCGAATCTCTTAAATCCAAATCTACACAAATATTTACACCCCAAAAAGAAAACTCGGAAGTTTCGTTCAACAATACTCTTTTAAATTTCGGGCTCAGAAACAAAATCAAAAAGCCTGTCTGGTTGGATTAACTTGAATTTCTGTACACAATCACACCGAAACAAAGGAAAGGACTCTGATTTTTTAATCCCATTATTATTTATTAGATATTTCAAACTATGAATTCTGTCAGATGAAATAACCTAAGTTTGAAATAACAAAAGTTTACATCATCAGGTTTTGAAAATATATGGATCAGAAAATTTGAGTTTGTGGCAAAGACTTAATTCTTTTAGAATTAATATACTTTGAAAATTATTTACAAACACTTAATCAAATCCTCTGGAATACTTAAGTACAATTAATAGTTCTTACCTAAATCATCTTTATAACTTCTTAATATAATTTTGTTTTTGTTTTCAAACATAGATTTTTTACCTAAATATAAACCCTGTGTTAAAAGTGTATCAAGAGTTGTTTGAAAAGAAAGATTAGCCTTGTTAGAAGTTGAAAGTATAAGGCTGTTTCTTTCTTCATTCTATGAACAAATAAAACCCAACAAACTAATAAAACCAAAAACAAACAAACAAACTAGCTGAAATGAGTTTTACAACCAATCTAATATTCCCCTTTGGTACAAAAAAAAAACAATAAAAATACATCTTCACCAAAAGAAGCATTTCTTTTTGTCGGCATGGGTGCAGTATGTTTTAGGGTAGTTTTAGATTTGTCTTACAGAATTTTGCCTCTTTTAAATTGTATGAAAAAATAATATTTTTGAATTCGTAACTTTAAAAAGCTGATATTCTGGTAATCTGATCTAAGGTTTTAATTCATTATAAAAATTTTAGTGAGACTATATCGAAGAGCATGCTTTAACTTAATTAAGCCGATGCTCTGCCAACATCTTTAGATATACTCCTTCAACTTTAAAACTTCTCCTTCACTCAGCTTCAATTGAAACCTGAATATGTATCCCGAGAGATTTATTGAAGTCTAGAACATCTTGTATTTTTAATGTCAACTTTCAACCTTCAATTATACTTCAAGTGTCGTCACTAAATCATACTGCAGTCCTTCAATTATACTTCAAGTGTCGTCACTAAACCATACTGCAGTCCTTCAATTATACTTCAAGTGTCGTCACTAAACCATACTGCAGTCCTTCAATTATACTTCAAGTGTTGCCACTAAAGCATAACAGCTTCTAGTTTTTAAAATAACTGAAGATGAAAACCTGTAACTCAGATGTTCTTATTCCTTTATCTTTGCAACTCAATGTTGTAGACTTTAGATATTTTAAAATTTGAATTCCAGCTTTCAACCTTTATAGACAAATAATCTAAGGTTGAAATTTCAAAGGTTAACATTATCAGGTCGCAAAGATATAGGGATTAGAAAATTTGAATTTGTGACAAAGATTTAATTCCTTTCATCTAAGTTCTTTTTTAAACTTTGAATCCATAAAATTTAAAATTTATATATAATTTTGGTCTAAAACGCTTATTTTCGCCAATTTTTCTGTTAGAATTGATTGATTTCCAAAAAATTTTGCTTTGAAAAAATGTCATATTTTGACATCTAAAATTTTATCTATGCAAAATT